AGAAATGTGATAATGTTTAAAAGCTATATAGACCATAGTTGAGATCTGCATGAGTTGTGATAACATTCGTGCCTCGGAGATCGGAGTTAAGAGTTGTAGGATTTATGGACCACATAGGCTGTTGTTTGTTACGTAGATCATAGTGATATGCTGCAAAGAGAGAGCTTTAGAAATTCAAGAAAGTCAGTGTTTTTTTAATGTGGTGGTTGTAAGCAATTATTATGGGGTGTATTGTCATTGTGTTATATGATGACATCGTTCGCAGAGATTTGAGCTTAGACGCGATGGATGAGATTAGCGTAAACGTGCATCATTTCCTGCATCAGTGGTAAATAAAAAGGTCCGAGTGGAGCCCTATAAGAAATACTCCTCTCAGTAATTTTGAATCCACTCCAAGAATCTGGCGGGCTTCAGTGGAGAACCTGCAAAAATGTTCCTTGAGGGATTCCCCTTTATTTTAACGTACACCTCATACGTGAGATGAATCTTTGATGATAAATCTATTTGTTATGAACTGCTCTATGAATAATGTGACAAGCTCATTGAAGATGTTGATTGTGCCCCTCAAGAGAAAGTAGAACAATGTGCAAGCTTGACCGTTGAGAGTCACCAGGAACATTTGACTGAGAATTGTATCAAGAACACAATGAATGTGCATGATGATTTGATAGTGGTCGACGTGCTCTTATGGGTCAGTTACCCCTTCATAGGCGTCGTTGTTTGGGAGTTTGAAACTTGTTGGGATAGAGTGTTGGAGAACGGCGTCAGCCAAATGAGAGGATTCTTAGAAGTTGCGGTGAGTAGGGAAGTGATCCCTTTTATCCAGATGGAACTCTTCTTGAACCAAACCTCGTAGCTCATTTCAGATGATATCAGCAAAAGCGGCAGTAAGGCGGGGAGGTGCCAGGTGAGCTGCATGAGACAGATGAGTGAAACTTGCAATGTCGAGAAGATCGATGTCTCATCTCGACCGATGAATGGTTTCATCATTAGGAGATAACTCGGTGAGTGGAGTATTTCTTATTGAATGTTGAACTGACGTTAAGTAAGTTCCATTAGGTTGCGGTTGTTGCTCCAGATGTAGGAGAGGAATGATCTCATGTTGAGACTCTTCCAACTTACATACTCAATTTTACGGAGAATGACTCGAGACACATTTGTTAGCAGGGTAATGCCTTCTAGAGTAGGAGGATGCAGAGGCTTGATGGCGTTGGCTCCGCGACTGTCTTCTGGAATGATGAGTGTTGGAGCGAAATGCTCTATTGTTGCGAGTGTTGCGTTTGGTGTCCATGTAACAATTCTTGCAAGTATTTAGTGATGAGATTGTTTTATTTCTCACAAACGACACTAAACTGAAGTTTGCTAGATTATTCACGACGATAGAGTGATGGATTATCTACTTAGTGTTGCACAATAATTCAACACACACTCAAATAAAGGAAAATAACAGATAATGAAACCATAAATTTTTACGTGGAAAACTAAAAAGGAAAAACAAAGGGTCTAGCCCAGCTGAAGAGTTCTACTATAGAAGATATTACAGTTACAATCACTTGTCCCACAGGCAGGAAATAGTTACTATATTTCACAAGTTATAACGTCGACGTGCTGTTGAATTTGCTACTAGGAACGGACGGCGACCACTAGCGATTGGAGGTGTCCGGTCGGTGGTAATTGACGGTGGTTGGTGGAGATTAATGACTTTTAGCGGTGGTCAACGAAGATTGACGGTGATCGACGATGGTTGGCAGTGGTTGATGAAGATTGACGGTGATCAACTGACGGTTGATGGTGGTCGACAGAGGTCAGTGGTGATCAATGACGGTTGAAAGTGGTCGACGATGATCAGTGAAAGTCGACGACGATCAATGGTGGTTAATACAGGTCAGTGTTGGTCGATGACAGTTGACAATGATGGTGCTGGACTTCAGTTCTTTCTTGAAGCCTCAAGCTCTTCCTCAAATCTCAAGCTCTCCTCCCCCTCATGAGAGGGGTGGAGTTCTATTTATAGAGCTCGCGGTGCAATTAATGCAGGAATATGAATCACTTCGATCGAACGGTCTGGAGAGCTTCCTTTGATGATATTACATTTATGGACATTTGAGTGCCTTAACGATGTCAGAATTGAGCGATTTTGGGCTCGTTGGATTCATCTTATGGAGACACTTGATTCGATTATAATCTTGCCAAATTCGACCTTCATTTGACCTTTCAAATACGCTAGAGATGTTTCCAAAAATGGTTTAATGGCTTCATTTGAAATTGATTTGGCTCGGATTTGACTGATTTTGATATCATTGGGTCCGTCTCATCAAGTCGCTCATTTTGACAACAAGTTTGCTGAAATTCGAGCTCTGCATGACTTTTGATAAAAGTGAATGTTTTTTACTCAAAAGATTGTCTCGAGATCCATTTCTTATCTCAAGATGCGTGTTGAATGATGAATTTATTAATGACTTGTATCAAATTGTTTGAGTAGACCAAGCTTGTCATAATATAATACAAAAAAAAAAAAATTATATTTACAGATGTTATGTTTTAAAGTAAGAAAAGTCTATGGTTCAACGTTGAATAAACGGTTGACACATAGTGAATGTTGGCGAAAACTATTTTCTTAAGTAATTAATTTAAGCTTTATTAAGTATTTATTACTGAAAATAAAATAAAGAATAAACATAGATTTTTTTAAGTTAAAATTAAATTTAGAGAATATTCTTTTGGTTTTAACAGGAGAGTGATGCATTTTTAATTTTTTTAAATATCCTGTAGAAAAAATTGTGGTGGGCCCATAAGCGCAAAACTCAAAAAATTATTTTCTAATCTAGGGCGCGGGAGAAAATATTAGATTCGTTTGGAGTCCAATAATAGAACGCTACGTTTTTAAGTGGGTCTCGTCTTAATATACTGATATTGACCAGTATTAAAAACGGTGGTGCTCATTTGACACGTGGCGTCTCATCATTAGACTTTGAATATATCAGAAATACTGATATAATATTTTTCCCAAAAGAAGACGCAAAATGGATTTTATTGAAAATAAATTTTAAAATTTAATTATTTGGGTATTTTTGGATCTTAAAATTTTCCGTAAAATATATTTTTGTAAAGATAAATATTTTGATCAAATATGATTACACATTTATATAATGATCCTTTAATTTTTAATATCACACATCTTTTTTTTTATTTTAAATAACAAGATTTTGGTGGTGTTTGGTTCTCTATTGATAAAAGGATCTAGCAATGAACATAGCTAAATCCAACCGAATACTAAAAAACTAAACATTAAATACAGCGTCATGTTAAATTGAAATTTCTCGCATTCTGACTGCTTTTCCTCGAACCTCGTCTTCTTATTGACGTAAATCTTAAGTTGTTAAATCCAAGTCCCAGGTGAATTTAAGACAATTACTCTTCTATGGCTTCAAAACTTTTTTCATTGTCAATATGAATTTGATAAATTCGGATTTGCTAAATCCTATTTAATGTAAATCAGAGATGCAGCCTAGCATAACCTTAGTATAACTTATATATGTCAAATCTTGATTTATCCATGAATCATATCTCACAAAAATATTGCATAGTAAATGAGAGAGAGTGAGATGAGAGATGAAGAGTGCACATTAATGGTTACTAATCCATTCTTTTATTCATAAAATTATCTCTTATTTATAGAGGAGATGGTGTAATATGTGAAGTTACATGCTTGTCCCTATTTTAATGAGGGCGTTACATGATATTTTAGGTATTTTACAAGTACGGGCCTATGACTTAGCTACCTTCTGACTCGATGATGCTTGCTTATTCGGTTATGATGAGTTGAGTTTGTCAGTCGGCCCTCGATTAACTACGGGTCGGCGGGACTGACTCGATTGACTGGGCTTTGCCGATCAAGTGATATGAGTTGACTGTCGACTTTCGATCCCTAGTGAGAAGTTTCTATTGGCTTAGCGATGCTAGCTTATTGGAGAGAGAGTGATACATTGTGACTTACTGTATAACACATTCCCCAATATGGAGAGCCACATAGCTAATTTAGACTTCTTGTGACATGTTTACCTCGTGTGATTCCTGATAAGGAGGCTTTGGGACGCAATGATTGATAGTACTAAGGAGCTGAGTCTTTCCTTGGGTTCGATCTACCGAAAAGTTGATTGCAGGGTTGGATAGTCTTTCTTATGGTGGCAAGCTTGTATGCCCATATGTGTGTCTTGGTTTGATGGGTTCAGGCTCAAACCATTTTGTTGCTGTTAGTCTTGTTGGTTGTAGCTCCGATGACTGCATCCGACCCACTTTGACCTTAGTTTTGGTTCAGACTGCTACACATGGTTAGATAAGTGCGTCTTCTAGTCTTCTATTAGTGTGCCCTCCTTAATTGTAATTTTTTTTTCTTCTGAACAATTTGATCTCCTCAAGATTTGTGTCGGCACATTCTTGTTATATAAAATCATTTAAATGTGATAAAATAGTATGATAATAATTTTAAGTAGAAAATTGGGAATACATTGGATTTGGATTGAATGAAAATCAAGCAGCCAAATATCAATCATTTTCTGATTTTCAATAATATGATAAGCACTCCAGCGTTGATTGATTTAATTGTTTGATTATGTAAGCCTTTATTAATCCGGTTGAGTTTCTCGTCCACATGCATCCTTCGAAACCCTACGACCACACCATTCATTTCCTTCTTTTTTAAACCCTTCACATCCAATATCATCTGTCTTGACCTTTTCTGAGGTTGCCAACAAATTTATATTTTTAAAATAATTATGAAAATATTGGAACTTTATATTTCAAAAAAAAAAAAATTTTATTTTCTTAAATAAAGATTTTCTTAAATAAAGATTACATCCTCTTCACCTTTTGCCACGTGTCCAACTATCGACGTGGCAAACGGTGAAACAAAGGGGTCGCATTAAAGTTAGTAGAAATATCGTCACTTCAAATCAACTATATAACCCTAGCGAGCTGTTAATCCCATCCTCCCGTCGGTGTCTCCCCCCAAAATCCCCAACTCACTTCCAATCACCATGAATTCTAAGGCGAAGGGAGGCGAAATCCTCACCCCTCTCCTCCCGGAGCTCCATCCGCTGGCCGAATCGACTGAAATTAAAGATTCAGGTGGTGGCGCATCATTCTCAAGCGCCGTGTTCAACATCTCGACCAGCATCATCGGTGCCGGAATCATGTCGATTCCGGCAACCTTGCGGGTCCTCGGTGTAGTTCCCGCTTTGTTCATCATGGTTGCCGTCGGCTTGCTCTGCGATGTATCAGTGGAGTTCCTCACTCGCTACTCCGCCGCCGGAGAGTCTTCGGCGACTACTTCCTACTCCGGTCTAATGGCGAAGTCCTTCGGTTTGGTGGGATCCGCCGGGCTTCAGATCTTCGTCGCACTTACTAATTTGGGGTCTCTCATCATGTACCTTATCATCATCGGTGAACTACTAAACTCTCAAGAAGATTAGTTTATGCTTTAATTATATCCGTGTTTGATTGATGCAACCGACGACGCTTGATCTGAGGAGTGATTGTAAACCATCTGAATATGAATTAGTAATATCTTCTTAAGTTCATTTGCTAACTTCGGGGAGCTGTGTATCGATGAGCTGAAGTTCATTAACGAGCTAAACAGAAACAGTAAAGGAAGTCCGTGATCTGTAATTCAAATTTGAGTGATTTGTTTAGCGGATTCGTTGAAGATAAATATAAGATCTCTTTGATGTCCAATTTTTAACTTTGTTTTTTTCTTTTTATCACTCTAATCGAGGCTTTGGGTGCTTTGTTGTCAGGGGACGTGTTATCGGGGAACAGAACGGAGGGAGAAGATCACATGGGCGTGTTGCAGGAGTGGTTCGGAGAGGAGTGGTGGACGGCGAGATCAGCAACGATTCCGATCACCGTCGTCGTTGTGATGCTCCCTCTCGTGCTTCTTCGTCGCGTAGGTGAGATTGTTATTTACTTTTATTAATGGTGTGCTGCAAACTCGGGTCAGTCTGGTGTTCCAAATCTAAATCTCATGAATCAGCTATATAATATTTCATAAATATTTTTAACTTTTGGTGTTCCAAATCCAAATTTCATATATATATATAACTAATTATATTAGTTAATTCATTTAATTAAAAATCTTGGAATAATAAGAAGAAAAACAAAGATGTGGTGTGATGAAGTCGGAATCATTCATACGCGACAAAATGTTTTGCTTGAATCATTTAAGGATCGTGACTTCTTTCGCAAAAGGACACAGTAAGAGGAGAATGCGGAAATACAGTCCTAATGGTTTATTTTTTAAACTAGGGGCATTTATGTACATTTCACCCATTTCTTATCTATTTATAGATCTAACGTCAAAATTTTATTTTTTAAAATAAATAAAATATATTTTAACTTTTTTATTTTTAAAATTTAAAATAATTTTTTTATGCATAAGGGGCATATACATATACACACGTGAAAATTGAAAATTAGTTTTTAAAATGTAAATACACAGGAATAATTAAGTGGTATGCATGTAAATCTTCGTTTAAACAAAATACATTCAAAAGTTGTGCCGCCCACGTGCGCTAGCTGCACTAACGTGATTCTCACATATTTCAATTTAAATTTTAAAGTGCATTTTTTTTTTATCCCCAGGTAAAATGTAATTAGTAATAACCCGAATGAATTCGATCCCTGCGTGAAAAAATATTAAATCCAGACTTCGCATGCAGCGTGCAGAATGACTCGCGGAGTCCAATCTCTAGCTGACACATGAAAGATCAGAGCTCACCTATATAAAAAATGAAAACGCGTGACCCGGCTTAATTGATGCGTTTCTTACCCTTGTCGATGCTTTATATGAACATTTCATCGCGTTAATTTTATTCTTCCGCTTTACAGTCTTGCTCATGTGTTATAAAAAAATATTTTCTACGTTATTTATCCTTATCGCTGTGTTATAGGAAGCTTCAGATTCTCCCTCAAAAGGAAGGTAGGACTCTATTTATGGAATTATTGATGTAATTAATTAAGGAATCTGAACCATTTCGATCGGACGGTTCAAGACATTCCTCTATTTGCATTTGAATGACTTTTTAATGTCTTAGTGATGTTGGAATTGAACGATATTAGGCTCGTTGGATTCTTTTTGTTGATATGCTCAATTCAATTATAAGTTCATCAGGCTCGAAATCCATTTGACCTTCCAAACATGTTCGTAAAGCTTTCAAAATTGGTTTAATGGCTTCGATCCGGGTTTGATTTGGCTTTTATTGGATTAATTTTGATACTGAAGGGTTCGTCTCGTCGAGCCGGCCAGTTTGACTTGTGCTAAAATTAGTGTTCTTAATAACTTATAATCTAAGTTTGAACATTTCTTACAAGAAAGAGGAAGAATTAAGTAAATGGAAAGAATAGTAGTTAATGAGGGGCAGCGCATCCGATCAGAACTCAAACTCTTCTTCTCGTCCAGCCTTCCCTAACTCATCATCTTGTCTGAAAGCCGGGAATTGAAAGAGATTCTATTCTCTAGTAAATGAGCCGTAAAGTCGGCGGAAAAGAAAGACATGTTGGGGATTGAACCATAGGTCCCTCTCTATCCGGAAATAGGGAACAGAGTTTTGAGACAGATAAAGGTTTCATCTATTATCGTCTCGGGTCATTCAATCTCTCTCACTCCCAGGGTTGAGCTCCCGACTGGAGGAAGAGGCGAGCGGAGTGAGTTGTGAGTTGTCGACTGTTATGATAAAGAGAAGTAGTGAATGTTTGTTTTCGGAGTACACTTGGTGAGCTAGGTTTTGATAAGGTAGGAATAAGGTAAGGTCTCCTAGACGATGATTGAGTACGCCATTCAATCGTATGCTATGAGCACAAAACTTGAACTTGAGAGGGACTCCTTTCTACATGAAACCAGGATGTCTTGTTAACAGAGTTCTTTCTTCCTAAACCTAAAAGAAAAGACTAGTTACTGTGATCTGTGTGACATCTTAAAATTCATGATGTAAAAATTTATCGAGGAAGTATCAATGTTCACCTAAAAAATTATTTTTTTAATCTCCGGGGGGATAAGCATTCGAATTTGGCATCTGAAAGTTTTTTCACTTTATTTTATGTTAGAACAAACAAAACAGTAATAGCCGTATAGGGTACAGTTTGACGACGCCGATCGAATTATTCAGGGCGATGCGTTTTGTGTTCGAGTACAGCACGGCACCAATTATTGAGCCCCCTCAGCTTCCACTGCTGACGAGAATTAGCAGGCAAAGAGCGTGTCATTTCTTTATGAGGGCATGCGTCCTTGAGTGTGTGTGGGTCTTTCAATTTTGTCCAAGAGAATTAAATTCGACGGCTCAGGTCAGTACATTCATAGAACAGATAGAGAGTGTTCGTGAATTTTGATGTTTAAAGAGGGAGAGAACCGTGCGTGTTCTCTGGTACGTGTTGTCTGCCGTGCATATATAGAAAGATTTACGTGTACAAACACCCGCAATTATAACCAATTATTTTTTCATAAATAAATAACTTGCATTTATACTCTTTCATAAGTTTTTGAATGTAAATTAAGATCATTATCTGCATCTTTCTAACAATTGTTTCTTGCTACTCGCAGATTCTCTGAGGTTTACCTCAGCAGTTTCAATCCTGCTTGCTGTAATCTTCGTCCTCATCAGCTCCGGAATGGCTATTTACGCCCTGTTTCAAGGCAACATTAGAAATCCCAGATTGCTTCCAGACTTACACAACCAATCCTTCCTCCAACTCTTCACAGCCATCCCCGTAATTGTTGTAGCCTTCACCTTCCATTTCAACGGTAACTCGCCTTCAATCCATTCAGCACATTCTCATTACATAACTTCAAAAACATGAATCATGAATCTGCAGTCCACCCAATCCGGTCCGAGCTCAGCCGCGTCACCGACATGAAACCAGCCGTCCGCGTCTCCCTCATCCTCTGCACCCTCATCTACGCCACCGTCGGACTCTCCGGCTACCTTCTCTTCGGCGATGATACGATGTCCGATGTTCTCTCCAACTTCGACAAGAGCTCGGCGAGTCCGATTCTCGACGATGCGGTTCGGCTAAGCTATGCACTCCACTTAGTGCTGGTGTTTCCATTACTGTTCTATTCACTTCGGCTCAACATTGATGGCCTCGTCTTCCGCAACTCGCAGCAGCGGCCTCTTACGGCTGATGCCGGACGATTTTTGTCTCTCACAGCGATATTGTTGGCTTTGGTTTACGTGGCGGCGATCGCCATCCCTAATGTTTGGACAGTGTTTCAGTTCATCGGGTCGACGACGGCGGTCGGCATCTCGTTGATCTTTCCTGGCGCTGTCGTGTTAAGGTAAGACATTTTCTTGATCTGTTAATTCACTGCAATGTCCTCATGTGTGATACCAAACCATTATCTAACCTAATTAATAACAAAGGGGGAAAGGAAAGATTTACGTGCATTTCATTCAATTCCTCATGTATTTACCTATGTAACACCTAAACTTCAATTTTTAAAAATATATCACCTTTTGTATGCATGATTGCATGAAAATATACATAAAAATGTATATTTCACTTTTTAAAAGTTAAAATAATGATAGTGGTGTGATATAAAGATTTTAATAGTAGAAATGTAAAAGGTAAAGTTTAGGTGTTAGATGTGTAAATACATAGGATTTGAGTGGTATGTATGCAAATACCCCTTAAAAAAATGAGCACCTTTCTGTTAGTTACTGTTAAATAGTATAGGATTGCCAGCCATTGTGAGATCGGGAATTGTTATTGGGCTTTTTTCATCTTTTTTTTTTACCAAATTTAATCATAATTTTCACAAAATACAATATGAATAAAAAAAATCTGAACGCTAAGAGGCTGTCTGGAATCTCTTTTGATTTTTTTTATTTTTATTTTATTTTTTATACTTTTACTTAAAATGAAAATTATTTGATATGTTGCCACATGATTATTATTTTAAAAAATTATTTAGAATAATTTAAAAATTATTTTGAGTGCTTTTATAATAAATTAATTTTTTAGAAAATAAAAATAGAAGCATATAAAAAATTTACCAAATAAATAAATTTTAAAATAGAAGGCAAAAAAAGAAAGAACAAAAGTGATTCCAAATAAGCCCTAAGATTTATCGACGGAAAGGCTAAGCTCTCTAACAATGGGTTAAAGTGTGCTCTGCGGATCATCATTAAGTTGGATTGAGAGACGCTACATTCTTGTTAGTTGGGTTCTTATTTTTGGATCATTATTGAGTTTGCTTAACGAGAAGCATACCACTCAAAAATATCGTCATCACTATCTTTTAAAAGTGAAATACACCTGTGCATGCATAGATTTATGACACCAAGATGTTACAAGTTTAAATATCAATCTTTTGGTGTCAGATATATAAATCTATAAGAATTGTATGGTAAGTATGTATATTTCCCTAGAATACAATTTGAAGCACTTCAAAAGAATGCATTACCAGACAATACCGATCTAATTAATCCTACTTTTATGAGAGAGATGAAGAGATAAATCAGAAATGTCTCACCTGGCAATGCACATTGGGAAGTGGAAATAATCTGTAACTTTCTACAGATGCCAAATGTTTTATTCACCATGTTCTTGACTTATCACAGTTCTGTTTCATTTATCCTAATACATACAACTGCGGCAGGGATCTATATGGGATATCTAAAAGCAATGATAAATTGTTGGCTGGAATTATGATTATACTGGCAGTGATCACAAGCTGTATTGCCATCTACTCCAACATCATTAGTCTGTTTGACGGTGAACTCAAGAGCAGCCCCTCAGTTTTAGCAAATTAATCGTTAAAAATGTTAGAGCGGTCGAATATTTGAAATGTGCAATTTTCTCAATATCATAGCAACCTCCCTTGTAAAATTTCATGAACTTTGCACAAGTGATGTAATTTTTGAGATGTTCATACACGGAGATAATGCAAGTATAGTGATCGGTTTGCAATCAATGTGCTGTAAATTAGAGCATCTCTTAGACATGATTGATGATAAACCCAATCTATTTATTGAATGACTGAGGAGGCTAATCTGAGCCTGGAAATTTAATATCACCGTTTCAAACTTAAATTTTTTTTTGTATCTTATCAAAAATATCTCTATTACAAGGAAACTATTTGCGTACATAAGACGTACACAATGCTGCGTACGTCAGGGGCTATTCAGGGGGTACAGAGGGGGTTATATCCGGGTTATACCCCCCTGTAACCTCCGTGTAATTCTCTTGTAACCTCTGTGTAATTTATTTGTACCCATGAAACTACAGAAGCGCGGAATTTATTTGTAGGTTACAGGTAGTTTACAAAGAGGTTACGGGGGTATAACGTGGATATAACCCCCCAATATCCTCTGGATAACCTAAATAACCCATGGACGTACGCATCGCTGCGTACGTCTTATGCACGCAAATATTTTCCCTATTACAAACTTAGAAAATAAAATGAAATATATCATTTAATGCATATTTAATATATTATGAATATAAAAATCAAAATTTTGATGCTGAATATCTAAATACATAGAGCTTGTGTTTTATATTTTTATGTAAATATTTATCTATTGTGTTTAAACTTAAATAACTTAAACATTTATTCAGTATAAGATTAGAAGAAAAAAAAAATTCAATTGAAAGTAGACTAAAAACATAAATTAAAGCAAGTTCCACAGGCCAAAAATTTATAGCCGGGCCCTCCCACATAAAATGGTCCGCTGAGACTCGCCATGTGGAGAAGTCAAGACTGTTTGATTCCAATTGGCATCCATCCTACCTCTCAGTTTCTAACAAACCTTTTAGTATATGCTTTTATATATTACCTTTTGTATAAAGGTCTTTATGATGGAGTATAAGCAACAATGAAAAAGCTGCTCTACCCTTTCATTACCATCTTCTTTCTTCTTCCTCTTTCTGCTAAAGCTTCTACATGGTAGGTATCAGAGCAAACCTGTCTCACGAACCTCTAAGGTTCACTCCGACATTGACGATCTATACGGCTTCTTCCTCCGGAGCCAACAATGCATCTCAGCCCACTGCTCTTGCCGATCGACAAATCAGTTCCCTCTCAGCTAAAATTCAACCTAAGCAATATTCGGAGTCTCGATTCTAATATCATCCCAACTGGAAGGCTCTTAGATGGCTCATTTCTCCTTCTATCTTACCCTATCTCCTACCCCTGGAAACTTTTTACGACATTTGGACAACAATAGAACGCTGCCTCCAATCCTCCAACCATTCTAACATCATCCAATTGAAAATTGTACTTCACAACATCAAATTGCTCAACAAATCTATGAATCAATACCTCTCCGAAGTCGAGGCGAAGGTTGGTATTCTTTCTGCTGCAGGAGCTACTCTCGATCCAAAAGATATTTTCCACTATATCCGCAATGGGTTGCCATTGAAATACCATGCTTTCAAAACAGCAATTCGAACTACCCTTCACCCAATATCCCTTGACAATCTCTACACCTTATTATACTGCGAAGAAATAAATCTAGCAAACGAAGCGCTTAAGGAAAACTCAAACTCAACAGCTCTGTTTGCATCTCGCGGTCGAGATAAAGGTCGCTCAAACAACTATTCATCATATGGTCAATGCAATCTATCTCGCCCAAATTAGTCCAATAACAACCTCAACGACAACAATCGTTCTCCTATGGTGTGCCAAATTTTCCACAAGCCTGGACATGAAGCATTAGTTCCGTCATGACAAATCTTATCAAGTGGCAATAGCCCTTGTAACCACCAACACTGAATCCCATGACCATAAATGGTACCTCTGACAGTGGTGCTAGCAAACACTTAATGGCTGAACCAATTTATCTCATCAGCCTCAAACTTACCAAGGAGACAACACTATCTCAGTGTGCAACGATCAATAGCTTCCCATTGCTCAAGTTGGCCAAGGAATCCTACCCACACCTTCGAGTAAACTATACCTTTCTAATTTTCACCTCATTCCTAACTTAGCATGCAACCTTATCTCAGTTCATAAGTTAACTAAAGCTAACTCTTGCTTTATCACCTTTACCTCTGATGGCTATCACATCTCCGATCTCAAGACAAACCACATCCTGCTTAAAGGTTCATGCATCCACGGCCTATACCCGGTGCATCATCCCACCACCATGCAGTCAATCACAAATCTAGCTCTTCTCTCCATCCAATATATGCCACAACTATGGCATCAACGTCTCGATCATCGATAACCAAGAACTCGATCCATCATAGCTTCCCAATTTCCTGCTTTATGTACTTTAGTTCAGTTACATTGTAATTCATGTAGTATTTAAGAGCCATAAGCTCCCTTTTTCTATCTCTACTTCTAGTACCTCCTCTTTTCTAGAATTAGTTCACTTGGATGTAAGGGGTTTTTCCCCCACTCTGTCATTACAATCTTATAAATATTACTTGCTTTTTATTGATGATTACACTCACTATGTTTGGGTTTATCTTCTCCGCAATAGAAATGAAACAGCCAAAAAACTTCTTCACTTCAAATCCATGGTTGAAAATCATTGGGAGGCGGGGAATACATCAACCAATCCTTTCAAAACATCTCAAACTGCCATGGCATAATACATCAATGCTCATGCCCATACACTCCCAAATAAAACGACATCACCGAGTTCAAACATCGCCGCCTCATCGAAATTGCCCACACACTCATGGCCACGGCTCACCTACCTCCTCATCTTAGGGCCGACACTCTTCTTAACTCCACATACCTCATTAACTGTCTACTCTCCACAACTACAAATTCCAAATCCCCATTTAAGCTACTTCATCATCGCCCCCCATCCTATAATCACCAAAAAAATTTTGAATGTCTTTGCTATCCTTGGTTTAGATCCTAGGTTCAACATAAGCTTGCACCACTATCAACACCAAAAAGGTGCCTCAAACCCCCAACCAACTAAATTTGCACCTCTCGTCATGAGCTCTTTAACGAGGCAATCTTTCCTTTCAATATGCCCTTCACTACATCCATACCAACCCCATCTCCCCCAGTTAACTTACCTCCTATTCTTTTTTACTCCAAACTCCATTCTCCATAAAACCCACCCACCTAAATTATCAATCTCTCCATCTCCCTCTCCCTCCCCGAATCAACATGCCCTACCTCTAGATAATCTCTCTACTTTGACCTCTACCCTCTCATCTCACCTCCAGAACCACCACAAATCCACTCATCCTATGCAAACATGCTACAAACCGGATCTCTCAAACCAAGCCAAATACTGAACCACACCCATCATCTCATCCCCACACCAACCTGCTACTCCTCTACTATCAAACCTCCTCAATGGCATGAAGCAATGTCCATTGAATTCCAAGCCCTCCAATCACAAGGCATTTGGACACTTGCGCCTCTCTACCTCACTACAACGACTTAGGATTCAAATGGACTTACCGCACCAAACTCAATGCCGACAACACTCTCTCCCATTACAAAGCACACCTCGTCGCTCAAGGCTTTAAACAACAACAAGACCTCGACTACAGCGAAACCTTCAGTCTCGTCTTCAAACTACCAACCATTCGTGTTCTCATTATAATTGCCCAAACAAATCAATGGCTCATCCTTCAACTTGATGTGACCAATGCCTTTCGACATGGTCATCTCACCAAAACCATCTACATATCCCAACCACTTGCTTTCATTGATTCCAACTATCCCAATCACATATGCCTCCTAAAAAAAGGCCTTATACGGACTCAAACAAGCTCCACATCATTAGTTTTCCACACTCTCCTGCTACCTCCGAACCCTTGGTTTTCAATCCAGCTCTGCCGACCCTTCCCTCTTTTGTCTCCATAACACTAACTATCATCTTTACATACTGATATATGTAGATGACATATTACTTACTAGCTCCGATTCCTCACTACTTAATTCCCCCATCCACAAACTTGAAACCCAAATTCCTATGAAATTTCTTGGGCCTCTCGAAATTCATGCAACCACCACCTCCTATGGCCTCCACCTATCTAAATCCTCCTATGCCACCCATGCTAAACTCCAAACCCGTCCTCAATCCCTACTCACCCAAACAACCACCAACCCCACCTAGCATCACCCTCTCCGAAAGCCAACCACATGTCGCCAAATCATAGGCTCCTTTCAACATCTCACACTCACTCGTTTGAATCTCAGGACAATAACAACCAACAAATCATCATTTTCAAAAATTTAAGTGAATTCTCGGCTGCCTTAATGGAACCGCCACTGGTTGCATTCCTATCTGGCGCGCTCCTCTTCACCTCATAGTCTACTCAAACTCCGATTGGGTTGGCAATCCCAATGACCGCAAATCCACTTCCGGTTATTGTGTCTTCCTTGAAAAAACACCGACCTTTTGGTCCGCTGAGAAACAAGCAACAGTTGCTTGATCTTCTACCGAGGCCGAATATCGTGCCCTCACCTCTGCCGTTGCAGACCTTGTATGGCTACGACGTCTCATGGCTGATTTCAACTACCCACAATCTCAACCCACAAAACTTCATTATAACAATTTCTTTACCATAGCCCTCTTCAACAATCCCATATTTCCTGCAAGAACTAAACATATAAAAGTTTACTGTCATTTCATTCGAAACTGCATAGAACAAGAACAACTCACCGTTCATCACATTGCCCACTCAGGATTTACTTGCTGATATTTATACAGAGCCTCTCTCCAATACTCGCTTTGAGCAACTGAATATCAAGCCAACACTTCCAGCCGAATCATCAGCTCGAGGGGGGATATAACAACCTCTGCTCTCCTTCCCTGCTATCCGTCGAGCCTCACCATATGTGGAGAAATCAAGACCATTTGATTCCAACTGGCATCCATCGACATCGGTGTCCAAATGAGCAGACACAACATATAATATTCTCTAAGTAAAACCACCTCTTAGTTTTATATATATATAATGACAATTTAGAAAACACAGTGATGATGAATGCCTTTATTGAGTAAAAGGCATTCGGGCTAATTAGTTAATGAAGAATGTTGCATCTCCAAGTGCATTAATAGTTCAACCATAGTCTTCAGTGCGTATTTGCTCTTTTTCCATATATAACTGCTAAATTAGATTTCAAATTTTAGAGCTTTTCTAATTGAATCATTATACAAGTAGATGAAAATTTTCAATACAATAGTTGGGCCAAGTCATTTTAAAATATCTGATCAAAAAATCCCTTAATTATCCAGTTATTTAAAATACCTGTATTGCACATATATAATCATAGCTATATTTCATTTTATTATTATATAATATACAAAAAAATAAATTTGTTAATTTATGTTTTGCATTTTACAGGCCTTCAGAAGGACTTAAAATTACCAAAATAACGTCAACCTTCATTTATAAACTTTATCAAAATTAATTATGACTAAACTACTAATTAAGTTCATTTTGATTATATAAAATCAAAGTTGTTTAATTACTACTATAACAAATTTGATCAAATATTAATCAAGTCAAATTTGAGTTGTCCATCTACTGCCTTCCTTTATTTACTGCTGTGATCATAGCCTCCAGAAGCGACTCTGTAGCTGCGGCAATTTGGTCATGGTGGAGATGCGCAATCTCCCTCCACTTGCTTTGCAATGCCATCCCGCTTCATCTCCCCTACAATAGCCTCCAAATCAACAGACTTGCTTCCACAATCCACTCTGAATTGATAAAGCAGAGCTTCCCAAAGCACAGAATCAGGAGAAATGGAATTTCTCAATAGTTCTTCTAAAACTTGCAAAGCTTCACTATATTTGTGCATTTCACACAAGCTACAAACTAAAGCGTTACAAGTTGAAGGCTGAGCAGCAAATCCATTTCCCAGCATTTCCATGAAAAGCTCATAAGCCTCAATTGCTTCACAGCTATGAAGGAGTCCATCAATCAGAATGTTGTAAGTATTTGAGTTCCATTGGATTCTCTTCGCAAGCATCTCTTTCTTTATATCTCCGCTTTTCTCCTTTGCACCTGCTTTAACATACGCAGCAAGGACAATGTTGAAGGTTTCTGTGTCTGGCTTGCATCCTATTTTATCCATACAACTGATCATTTTATGTGCTCTTTCAAATTTACCTTGCTGACAAAGACTACTTACATAGACATTAAAGGTAAAAATATTGGGTACAAGACCAATAACAAGAATTTCATCAAACAGCTCCTCAACAGTGTGGTAGTCATTTGCCATGCAAAAACCATGGAGTACACTGTTATAACTCAAAACATCGGCCCTCTTTCCCCGATTTCAAATGTTCCAATAGAGAATAGGCATGATTTACTTTACCTTCCTTCACAAGAACATCAATCACACTGTTATACTCTAGAGCAGTAGGCAAGTGCCCAGCGTTTCTCATGTCTTCTAAAAAAGTAAGTATGTCTTTGGCACCAGCATGCTCACAAAGCGAAGAAAGCACCACGGAGTACAGTTTTCCTTCAGGATAGGACTCGTCGAGGTGCATCGCTTTTAAGAGCTCTAATGCAGAGCCAACTTTTCCAATCTTGCAAAGAGCTCTTATTAGTATATGAAATGTGGTAGCCTCGAGATGAATGTTCATCTCTGGAGTCTTCATCAAGACATCTTGAATCAAAACAAGGCCTTCCTTCTTCTTACAAAGAATAGAGAGCAATGAATTTAAGGAAAGAACAGAAGGCGTGCATCTGAATTTAGGAATCCTGAAGAAAATGTTCATAGCATCTTTAAGCATGTTTGCTTTACCATAATGCTGAATAAGACCAAGAAAGACTTTTTCTGGGACTTCAAGTTGCTCTTCATGCTCAAGGTGGTGCAGAATCGCAGGGATTTGGGAGAAGAGACGTCTACGTGCGACATACTTGATGACAAAGGAGTATGCAGACGGGCTCGGACTTATTTCATATCTTCGGAAGCAACTCAGCAGAATAGAGAAGACATTAGTTGTTTTGTCTTGCAATTCTGCCACTTTGCTCTTAAAAGCTTCTATTGCTAGCAACTCACTGAAGTTTTCCTGCCATCCTCCTCTGTAAGGAAAACGAGCTGATTTGCAACTTCTCATTTTCCTGCTTACCATCACCATATGCATGGGAACAGAACTCTCAACACCATTTTATTTGCAGCCTACAAAATGTGAATAATAATCAGCAGATACTTTACAGAAAAATTCAGTATATAGAATGTAGTGGCAGCATATTGTCCTCTAAAGTGGATGGCAACTTGTATAACCAAGTTTCTCAGCAGTGAAGACTATTTCCTTAAAAAGCATGTTTAATTAAACTTTTCCTCTCCTACTTCTCTATGATGCAAAACCATTAACAAGGGCAGAGATATTAATAATCAAGCAATTAAGGAATCATTAAGAGGCTGGTTAGGTTTCAGAAGGAGGGATGTAGCAGAATTTCACTTTTTGTTCAATCAATTTTCAATACAAAAAATGCAGCATTTACTTGATTTTAACTCACTCTTTGATTCATTCACTTCCCAAAATTCCAGCAAATAAATGCTGGAACCTTCGAAGTATTTAATCCGCAGTGTTTATTAACACTGCAAATCATAAAAAAAAAAAAAACAGAAGGCACTAAAATCTACAAGATTTGCTCCGCCATTATACACACGCTATCTTCAATTAAAACCCCTAGGCATAAATGCAAATTCCATTGACGCATTCTCACAAACACCATGCAGGCTCACAAGGGTGGACTTGGCGCGCCTGTCACTTCTTAATATATAATTTGATTCAGGTAACTGGGAATGAATCCAAACGTAATTTACCCCATAAGTGATGTCGAATTCTGTAGCTTCTGGAAATTCAGAAATGGAGGTCATTTGTCAATTTCTGGCGTGCGTCTCTGCATTTATGAGAGGCCCAAGCGAATGATGAACAACTTACGGATGCTCCTCGAGCTGTAGAATCGCATGCTAGGCATGGGGCGAGGGGCTGGAGGATTTTTCCGGCTGTAATGAAGGAGGACGAGCACGAAGGAGTGTCGTTCGGCGGAAGGATAAAGATGAGGAAATGGGATATTGACACACACCACATGACGGACACGAGCAAGACAAAAATTTAGACCTTGTCATGAGAGTTGTATGGCATGCAAATTTTACAAAAATTCGTAAATTCACCTCATGCAGCACATGGAACGCGGGTACAGTTGAATAGAATACAGTTCACCGATAACGGTGGTTGTTGACAGGCTGTGTGGTTAAGAATGGTTTGTGGCTACTTGGGATGTAAGCAAGTCGAGATCGGGCGAGCCCAATACTTGTTCGTGTTCGAGTCGCTAAAATTTATTTTTGTTCGTGACCGAGTTCTTACTTACAAACAATTCAAACACGAATTGCTTAATAAGCAAAACATAAGTTGTTTATGAACAACGAACTTTTCTGAGAGCTCTACTGTGACATGTTTTCATTTTTCCTTTTGGGCATTTAAATATGTACCAAGTTCTTATCTATTTACATGTATAAAGCCTAAATTATAGTTTTGCATTTATACCACCCATATCTGTCACATGCATCTTTTTAAATATAATATAAAAATGATATAAATAAATATTTACTTGCGGCCGGCTCATTTATAAATCGACTCAAAAAATTTATTTATATTTAGTTTGTTTGCTAAATAAATCTAATATGAGCTACTTAACGAGTTAGACATGATTTGTTCATGAACGACGAGTTTTTTTTACAGCCCTAGTCGTTGCTGAGATCGCTCACCCACTCCCTCTCAAGTGAAAAGAGGATATATTTATAACTCCTAAGAGTGGGGCATTTCTTCATTTGTTGAATAACTCCCTTAACCAGCCAATCATACAATTCACATTAATTTCACTTGATCATAGAAGGGTTTTTTTTTTATGGTTTGATGACTTTAATAACTTTAAAATCAAGCGATTTTAAATTCGTTGGATTCCTTTTGTAGAGATGCTCGATATGATTTCAGGTACGTCAAAACTGGAGTTCATTTGACCCTCTAATTCACTACTTAAAGACTCTAAAAGTGATCTAATGGCTTGATTTCGGCTTAATTCAGCTCAGATTGATTCAAATTTTGAGATCATTGAGCTAGTCTAGTCGAGATGGTTTATTTAACTAAAACTTGTTGAAATCGAAGCTCTTGATGACTTTTAATTTGAATCAAAACATATTTTGCTAAAAATTGCCTCAAGATTTGTGTTTGGTGGCTAAATTAGTTAATAACGCATCAATTGTCTCCTATTTCAGCTCCTAATGTCCGAAAATAATCAATATAATAGAAATAAAATAAAATTTTGAAAAATATCAACTAAACTATTGTGTAGCAGTTGGTAATAGATGGCTCTCGGTGGCAACGAGAGATACACAATGAAAATTGTTTATAGGTCGAAGGCTGGTCAGTGAGTCGCAGGTCGGTGGTGAGTCATGAGTCAGTAGGTCCTTTAAAATAATCACTATAACACGAACATTTTCTTATGAGTCGACGACCCGTTGACCTGCAAGATATCCTTCAAATTAAAAAAAAAAAAAAGATAAATTTACATTCAATTAGCTATACATCCAACGCCAAACATTTAATATTTACATTTATAATGCATTTGATGTTAAAGCTTAGGTGGTGTATGTAAATATAAAAGTGTAGATGTTAGATATGTAAATACATAAGAATTATATGTATGATGTATGTAAATACCCTTAAGAAAACAAAATAAAAATAAAATAAAATAAAAGAGGGGAAGTACGCACAGAACGCGGAGCTGAAACAAGAGAGCAATTGATCCGCAACGCCAAATATTATTAAAAATAAAAATTAACAGGAAAATTTGATAAACAATTAGCAATTGTTCCGCAACCGTTTGGGGCAGCTTATAAGTACAGGAGCATTTTTAAAAATGCTGCGGTACAGTTTGGATCTTGTTTTGCCCGCTTATCAGAAAATGAGATTTCATTTTTACACTAAACGTAGGCCGTTGGTTGACCCTGCGGTAGATAAGTGGGCCACATGTAAGACGCACAAGTTGCCCAAAATACACGAGGAGTACCAAACGCACGGTTCATTTATTTGATTACTTTGGGCCGTGTTCAGTATCGTGTCAGAATGACTCGACAGGCGCGAGCTGACACGAATGATCCGTACAACCCACTACATTAAGATCTCACGCGGTATTCTTCGGCAATATAAATCCAAAGCCAAGCTGATCCTAATCCTCGCTTCCCAGCAACCTAAGCCGTCTTGCTCGCATACTCTTCGCAAATCGTAGCTTGATGGCGGCTCCATTCTACCCACCTCCGGCACCGGCGCCGCCTTCGGGTCCGGCGAGCAGAGTAGCGGTCGTCGGAGAGCAATTCTGCGCTCCTTACACGTTGGATCTGACGGTGACGGAGAAGTCGATCAAGATAACCGACGGCGCTTACGTCGTGACGGACGTCAATGGAAACATCGTGTTCAAAGTGAAGGGAAAGTTTCTCAGTCTTCGCGATCACCGCGTCCTCTTCGATGCCGCTGGAAATCCCATTCTGTCTATGCAGCAGAAGGTATGAATCAACCGATTCAGTTTTCGGATCCGGAGGATCTGTTTTGATGGCTTCTCTGGATTTGATTTATTTATATCTCGCCGTTTGATTTTCGATTGTTCTTGTTCTTTAGATTTTTCTTCTTCTTATTCTACTTTGCCGATTCAACAATCATTTACCCCCCTTTTTCATGTTCACTCAGATTGACTTATTTGGATCTTAATAACACACCATTAGTTGGTTTTCATGTTTGATATATAATTAAGCATCCTTAATAGTTGATCAAATCATATTCCTAGCTTGTTTACTATATGATAGTAAGAGATTGATTTTCATTCAGACTCTATGATTTCTGTCTAGACTCTTGATCAAAATTGATTAAGAATACATTCGTCATAACCCTAAAAAATTTAAATCAAATTTGTATTAATTTTGTCATCATTGAAGTTTATAAAAGGCATCAAATTCATCAATTATATGCGGCCATTTCTAAATGAATGGTTCTGGTTGTCAGAGAATTAAGATTTTGAATCCTATGATTTTCTTAATGTTTCAAAATTAGGTAGTTTGGATGATCGCCAATTTTAAAAAATAAATTATTACATATATAAATATAATGATTCTTTGATTTAGATATGCTGATTCATAAAAATTATGGTATGTACATAAATCCTCTAAAATATTAAAAGTAATATCAAGTGAATTCTTACCTATTTCCTATACACATGTAGTTAGGCTTAATGGCAACTAAATTTCCATAAATTAGTAATAATAACAATAATAATTTAAGGCTGAACTCATCTTCAACTCTAAAAATACATCAGTGTTTGCAAATCTAATAAGATTTAATTTTGGCGACATTAATGAAATTGATTTAGCATATCACATTTTCTGAAAGTTAGGCAATGTGGTATAGATGCAAAAAACCAAAGTTTTAAGTGTAAGATATGTAAATACATAAGAACTGTGTTGCATGCATCCCTTCAATCTTCCACTGATTTATTGATGTGGATTTACAGGCGATTTCGATGCACAGGCGATGGCAAGTTTTTAGAGGAGACAGCTCCAACTCGTCAGACCTCTTATTCAGCGTGAAGAAGTCGGGTCTCCTGCAGTTTAGGACAGAGCTGGATGTGTTCTTGGCTTCAAATACAGCCGAAAGCCAATGTGATTTCAAGATTAGAGGAAGCTTCCACGAGAGATCCTGTTTGATTTATCTTGGAGATTCCACTAACGTTCTTGCTCGAGTAAGTCAAGTTCAAACTTGCACTAATCTACTCTGAAATTTAAAAATCAAAGTTTGGTTGTTAGATATGTAAAAATTGTGTGTTTTGCATTTAATGTCTATATGCATAAGAATCCTGATCTAAATATAAACAAAATATTCAATTTTAAACTTAATTTAGTCTAAATATGAGGTTGTAGTATATATATATATTTTTTTCTTTCATATAAATCATCGTATGAATCACTGAAAAGACATGGTATTATTCACAATTAAATTTTCATGATTTTATTTGTATTGTTCTTGTTGTGATTGCAGATGCATCGTGAATACACAGTGAAGAACATAGTTTTGGGAAAAGATGCCTTCGGAGTGACGATCTATCCAAACGTGGATTATGCCTTTGTCGTTGCTCTTATTGTGATTCTTGATGAGATTAACGAAGACCGGCATGATTAAACGTTTGTGTGTGTTTGCAATAATGACAAAGGAAGATTTATATACATTTCACTAAAATTCCTGTGTATTTACATATTTAACACCTAAGCTTCAATTTTTACATATATGCCACCTCACCTATCCATGAGAAGGTATACTTTTTATATAAAAGATTTGAGTGGCATAAATGTAAAAAAATAAAGGTCTGTTGTTAGATATGTAAATATATAGGAGTTGGGTGGTATGTTTGTAAATGCCCCTAAGAATAATTATGTATGATTGTTGCTGGAAACTCTCTTTTTCGAGACAACGCATGTTTATTGCGTGTGTGTTGCTTTTATAAACAATGCATGTTTGGGTTTTGGGTATGTTACGGGTGAAAAGTCTTTTCCTTTTAATTACGACACTGAAATTTTACAATAAAAATTTGAAGTATATATGTTGTTAATGATACGACTTAGATGGGCGGCCGCAACTTATTGAATAATCTGCTGATAAACTGATTAAAAATAATCTGTTGATAAACTAGTTGCGGTAGTTATTATAAATTTTTTTTTATTTGAAAAATCAGATCGCAGTCAGAAAGCTGTCACCGCATCTAGACAAGTGCGGTGTGAAAACGTTATTTTCAGTATTTTGAAAACGCACAAGCTGTCAAAACACAGTTTACCCAGACAGACCAGGTGCATTTCCAAAACATCACAGCACCAAATAAGTTGCCCCAAACAAATCCTTAATATTGTGATGAATTGTACAAAACAATTCTGATTTATTTATTATTATAAGTCTAAGTATGATTTTGTGCCCATTTAACACTTTTTGAGCTTAGCTTATTAGCTAATTAAAATAAATTTTATTGAACTTATTAACGAGTAATATTATTGGGCAGCTTGTTACTTGAATGAACAAGTTTCAAAGATCACAATGAGCTTAGAATGAAATTAAAAATAAATAAATAAATAAAATAATCAAGCATTTTAACGAGCTTAAAAAAATAATTAGTTTGTATTCACGATAAAAATATAATATAGAAAAGAATAAAACTCTCACAAAATCATATATTAAGTAAATTAGTAAGTTTTAAATTAGCATAATTTTAAAGTCTAAATCAAACTTGTTGATGCGTTTTTTTCATAAAATTTTAGATATTGTAAATGAATCGGAAACCAAGCTATTTAAGCTTGTTTATTTATATATAAAATATCAATAAGCTTAATTGATTGATCATAAGCCCTAATTGAGTCTAGCCTCGAGTAGCCTATTGAACCAATTGGTTTATTTGTAACCTTGTATTTGATTCAACAAAAGAGGGTTCAAGGAAACAAATACTACAATGAAGTTTAGGCTCAAAGGGGCCGGTGAAAGTAAGAGTGCACGGAAAGCATAAAATACTAAAAGGGAAGAGAGCACAAATAATGTTTTGTTAACAAGACGGAGTATGAAGGGAATTGCTCGAAGGTCTTATTATTTTGCATGATGGAAAGAATCATATAAAAGTTTTGGGTCAATATGATCACAAGAAGACTTTTAATCCTACGCCAATCACAAAAAAGAATTGAAGGGATTAACACCAAAAATAAGATTAAAACCTTAAGGCATGCCTAGTTCAATGATGTATAAGAAAATGGGGCTTAAAATTTCACAACGAAAGGAAGTTGTAATGTTGTAAATGACTAAAAAGTGAAGGTGCTTCTAAATAGAGTAAAAATAAAGGGTATGCAAGTAGTCGTTTTTTCCACCTATTAGAAAAATGCCCACAAAAAGACTTAATAGCACAATCAAATATGTGAGTTTGAAACCTATGATATATTAATTCTCTAAGCAATAAAGGACAAAAGAGTTGATAATTAAGAAATTGATCTTATAATCTTGTATTATGTGCATGGGCCATCAATAATTCAACACCCTCACATTTAGTGAGGTAAGAAGAGCTATTACTCTATAGGAATCAGCTTGGGGTATATTTGATAGATGGAATAGATGTTTTGATTAAGATAAAAGATTCTTTAGACCATTAATAATATTTGATGACTTTAGACGATCGCGATGAGTGCCAGGTTTTGGAAGAAGTTACTAGAGGTGTGAAGCACATCAGAACTTTAAGCACCAAGGATTCTCATTCTGCCAGGCCCGCCGGCCCGCAACGGAACATCAACGGAGCATCAAGGATACCACACTCATTATGTGAAGTTGCTAAAGGTGTGAAGCACATAAATACTACGATGAAGTTTAGGCCCGAAGGGGTTAGTCAAATTAAGTGTACTCGGGAAGCATAAAATAATAAAAGGGTGATTAAAGATGTCAATGTATGATGAGTGTGGTATCTTCTTAGAGAGCATGGCAAAACTGGGTATTTCAGATTTCACAACAAAAAGGAAGTTGTCAAGTTTTATATCACTACAGAAAGTGAAGGTGATTTCGAATATAATACAAATAAAGGGGCAGCATGCGGTCATTTTTCACCTATTGGTAAGATGCCCACAAAGACTTAATAGCACAACCAAATATGTGAGTTTGAAAGCTATGTTATATTAATCTCTAAGCAATGTGAGAAAGAAGAGTTGTTAAAGAAATGGATCCTAAAATCTTGTCTTCTGTGCATGGGCCATTAATACTTGGATGCCCTCACCTTTAGTTAGGCGAGAAGAGCTATCACACTATAGGAATTAGCTTGTGGATAGATGGGATATGATGGTTTGATAAAGGCCTGTGCTCCTTTAGGCCAGTAATAATATTTGGTGATTTTAGGCGCCATGATGAGTGCTAAGTTGTGGAAAAAGTTGTTAGAGGTGCATGGAAACACAATAGAGCTTCAAACACCAAGGATTCTCACTCTCCCCTTTCTTCTCTCTGCCATAGTTTATATAATGGGTTCTTCATGATAAGTAGCTAATTCACATAATTTTGGAGAATTTTGATTGGTTGGATGTACTTAAGGTTATCCCTTATTGAGATTGGGTTTAACCATAACTAACTATAGGTATATCAATCATTAAGCAATTCAAGATAGAAGGGCTGATAATGAGCAAATCGACCATATAATCTTGACCTATGTGCAAGAAGGCCCGGCATCCACATGCAAATTATTATGCAAATAATGACTATCATATTATCCAAGCCTACATGAAGATACATCTTGCACTTAACAATGGTTATGCATTAAAACTCACGCCACATGGCCTTTCGTAGGGCTTCTAGGTTATAAAATGGACTTATATTGCTTTTACAATTTCATAAAAAATTAGCCAACTTGTATGACGAATTCAAAGGGCTTCCATTTTTAATTTTAAATAATAATTTTTTGCATTATGAGCCTACTTGAATATATAAAGCATCTAGAGTATTAATGAAAATTATAGAGAAAGCAATGAAAGGAGCATGTAATGGATTAGAAGGAAGAAAATAACAAGCATTGCACATTACAAGACATGATAGAAACCATCACATAATCACTAATTACATCAAATTGGGACACCAAGGAACTTATTACTATAATACCAGGTTACACATTTAAAAATAATCTCTAGAAGCTCACGGATCAGCAGTGGCAATATAGTGGAGAGCCCGGGAAAAATCCACATTGTGTAACTAAGGCATGCAAGCGTGCTTAAGTGAGTATGTTCGTGCACGTAGAAAACTAATTGCAATAACACAAACAGTGTTGTTTACCTAACACGCTAAAATTTGATTTGATTTTTATGTAATTTAGTCAACTGCGTGACAAAATCATATGACTTTTATCAACTTGCCTTAGGAATGTTTTGGGCAAATTCGTTAATTTTCTCCACTTTACCACATCATTTCCTAATTTCCGCAAATAAAAAAACTAATTTTATGAATTAGTATCAAGTTACAACAATGCTGAAGTGTTTAATGTTTGAGAAAGACTACGTTGGATCGACATCAGGTTTAAACTCAACTTGATACAAACTTTTCAGAATAAAATAATTCTTAATGAATTGATAAGCATTTTAAGTACCATAAAATCATGCACAATTCCCTTAGACACAAAAATTGTAATTAAATTAATTTTTAAATTGCACTAAAATGGCTAATTAAAAAAATATGCTAAGTCATTCCAAAAAAAATTCAGCAACAGGCCTAAGGCATTGCTTAAATGAAAATTTTGGGAGGTAACAGGCCAAAAAAATCAAACTTTGGGAAGGATGAACGAAGACATGAAAAAATATTAAGTACACAGAGAGGATCAATGGGAAAGAATAGAGAAATAATAACACATCAAGGAAAACCCTTAGGTTCTAGCTTCCACATCTTGTACTGAACAATGTCTACTGGCTCCTAATCACTAAAACAAATATCCCCTTTCTTTTAGGTGAGAAGTGAGTAAATAAGAGGAAGATAAAGCATAAGATAGTGAGAGGAGCTTTGGGAAAAAACTTCCCAACTTACCGTTTTCAACATTCTTTTTCAATTATTACAAACTATATCAAATTTTCATGAAATAGGATTTAAGAGTCTATGAGAATCTGAGGTTTGAATGCTTACGAAAATATGAATTAGGTCAAAGTTGACCTAAGATGGACAAGCTGTAGTTATAGAAGAATACATTCAACGTATGTTGAAAGCTTTCAACTAGGTGAGAATTCATAGCATATTTAATATAAACTATAAATAAAATAATTGATTACTTGCAAAGTAATCTCATCTCCATATCATAAATGTCTTCTGCACCACAACATAAATATCCAATCAATCATGAATGAACCATCAATATTAATAAAATGTTAAAAAAAAAATCCAAACAAAACCAAATTAAACAAAAAAAATGCAATTATGAAGTAACATGTGTTTCGTAAAATTTTAGCAACATATATGCATTGAACCATCAAAATCACTAATTTAATTTGATGATAGCTTGACTCTTTATACAAGTGATTTATATACAATTGAAAAATAAAGACACCTAAATGACATAAAAGTTGTACTCATAACTTTCAAATAGTAAATTGAACTGTTTTGCTCAAATCACCACTTAGCACAATCAAGAAGATTGTCGCACCAATTCAACTCGTCTATGGTGCTCCTTAAAGACGAATCAGAAAGCAAGAAAATTGACACATCCTCCATGAAGAATTGATCGATAGAAAAAAGGACTAATGTCATTTATCTGCAGTGTCTGCTCTTCCTTGAGTTGGGAAAAAACCATGACCTACAGTTGTTGCACTGACTGTTCTTCCATTGGTGTGTTGGAGGAGGCTTCCTGAAGAAACACAATCTATCCCTAATCTCACTCAATTTAAAGCTCATAACCGTCATTTCCTTGGAAGCAAACGAAAGATAAGGAAAAGGCATTTTCTGTAATGGAATGGTTTAGTTTTAGAATCCTTTGGGCACTATAGGTTTTGCTCCTATTATTAGTTCAACAAAAATGAATGTGATGTTATTTTATCTACAAAACTCCACGATGTCCTGATCTGGCCAAGGTTGGACGACATAGAGTTCTGACGACCTTTTTCAACATATTCACAAGCTCATTGTGCCACTTACATGATGAGAATGACATGATTGAAGGTAATTGGTGTCGACATGTTGGTTGCCTTCTCGTCGGAACTCAACACCGTCTAATCTTAGTTGAAGCAGGACGATGTGGAATTTCGTCGGAAAAAAGAACGCTAAATCTGAGAAGAGGAGCAAAGCCTACAGTGTTAAAGGAAGCCAAAACCAAAACTTCCCATTTTAGTCAATCTCTTTTCCTTCTCTTTCATTGGCTTATGAAGAAATGGTGGGTATGAGCTTTAAACTGAGTGCGATTATATAGAGATTATGCTTCCTAAGAGAAGCCTTCTCTAATGCAATCAAGGAAGAGCAGGGAATGCAATCACTTTAGTTCATAGTTTCTTCCCAACTCGAGGAAGAGTAGACACTACAACTATAGAACAAGATTCCTCTTCCTGTTCTTATTGATCAATTCTCCATGGAGGATGTGTCATGTTTCTTGCTTTTTTATTCGTCTTAAGAAGCTCCATGGACGGCTTGAATTTGTGCGATAGTCTTCTCGATTATGATAAATTTTGATTTGAGCAAAACGGTTCTATTTACTCTTTCAAAGTTCTAAGTAAAACTTTTGTCATTTAGATGTCTTAATTTTTCTATTGCATGCAAATCTCTTGGATAGAGAGTCAAACTGTCATAGACTTGATATAAGTAGTAGTTTGATGGTTCAGTGCATATATATTGCTAAGAGCATAGAAAACACATATTACTTCATCATTATTTTTTTGTTTAATTTGACTTTGTTTTGAACATTTTTTTACATTTTATTTAAATTAATGGTTCACTCATGATTTATTAGATCTTATATTGTGGTGCAAAAGAGATTTAGGACATGCAGATGAGATCACTTTACAAGCGATTCAAATATATTATTTCTAGTTTATATTACATATGCTATGAATTCTTATCTCGTTGAAACTTTTCAACATATGTTAAACATATTTTTCTATACCTAAATATTTTGTGCACTATACTATTGAAAATATGAATTAGGTTAAATTTGCTTGCTCTCGAAAAGAAGCGACCATTGATTGGTTTGGAATGCTTGGAAAAATATATGAACAGGAATCTCTGAGAGAGATTCGAATGCCTAAGAAAATATATGAACATGAACTTAAACTGCTATACTATTCAGCAAAATACCAGGATATAATTAGCAGCAGATGAGCACTGCCTGCGCTGTAGTCATTATCAAAAATAACTTTTGTTGTTCCTAAATTGTATTTTAAATAAATTTTGCAAAAATAATTAATTTTACTTCTATGTCCATTATCTTAAATCCTTAACCATATCTAAATCAGCCTAAAATGAAAAATACTTTAAAATTGCAAGATGAAACAAGTAGAACACCAGGGGAAAGTGATGAACTGAACAAAAAGCTGTAAAACAGTTCAAGTGAATTGATTTGAAAACACGCACACACACATAGAGAGAGAGAGAGAGAGAGAGAGAGAGAGAGAGAGACCTGAAGCAGTAGAAATCATGGCAATGTGGCATGTCTAGCACCAGGTGAACACTGCAGGCATCCTCTGAACTCGAATCAAATACCTGAATTGAATTGCCAGGAACAAGGCATATTTATACAAGATAGTTACAGCTGATTGCGCAAATTAGCCATCTGAAGTGGAAATGTTAGAATTGAGTGGTCTCAAGAAACAAAAAGTGTAAACTCACCTGCTGCTGTACTGTTTCAATGCAGATATGACAATGGCGGAAAAGAGTTATCTTGGTAGGATTACTGTAATAAAATTGTAACGAGATATAAATCAAAATATCATTTAAAATTTGGATACGATGTTGATAATTTCACCAATAAACTAGGAATTTAGGAAAAATAGTTAACAAAGCCCTCTTAGTTGGTAGTACTCAAACACAGACATCTGAAATCTACTAGAAATCCTTGCTGAAAATTCAGGACAAAAGAAAAACTCCCTAGGCCAGCTGATATTTGATGTTTCAGAGACTGCGTCATCCAAAAAGAATGCAGTTAAAACCATCTTCAAAAGCGAAGCTGACCAAACCAAGAAAATTCTAATTTGGTAAGGCACCATAACCCTTAAAAAATTCCAATATTTTATCAACGATATCCACATCACCATCTTCCCCAGAACCACTATGGCTTTGTCTCCCTAGTCTGAGCAATCTGAATCACTGAAAATGTGTACATATTTGCCACCTTCGCTGGATTCCTCCTCTTCTTCCTTCTTGCTCAGCATTTCTTCATCTTCACAATCTGAGTTTGGGCATTCAAAATCACCAAAAGGGTCCACCTCTTCATCTTCTTTGTTTGATGACTCCTCATCAGGGTAATCATTGTTTGGATGATCCTCAGCTGGAGCACAAGTAGGAGATCATTGATGTGGAAAAAGAATAAAAAATACAAAGATAATGCAATCCATGCATGAACAAACAAACCATTTGAATCCTCAGAATCATTATCAGAATCAGGCATGTCATCAAAATCATTTTCATTGTTTACTTGCACCCTAGATCAAGAGAGGACTGATTCAGTTAATTTTTTAAGCTCTCTAGGTCAGGGTAGAGAAATCTGAAAATATGATAAGAAATGCATACAATGGAAAGTCGTTTGACATATCTTCATCATTTCCAGTAAAATCGTCCTCAACAGTGTACAAATCATATACATATCCATCTGTTTATTGGAAGGAACAAAATAAAAACAATGAAAAAAACCATAATAGCTCATAACAAAAAGAATAAGAGAAGAAAGAAAGTAATAACCTTCTGTAGGAAGGTCAGCAATTGAATCAGAACCACTACCTGCAACTGCAGAAAGATTCATAATTAATGGGAAGGTTCTATATATATATATATATATATATCTTGGGATAGTGTAACTACAAAATCAAATGACAATAATGAGACGACCTTCTCCAGATAGATAGGCTTTTATTTCAGATTCAATCTCTTCAGCAGCTGAAGGAATGTGCTCCCTTAATAAAGGAAGATAGTTGCACAAGATTGCATTATCTTCTACAGAAACACGTCTGCACAGTGCTCGTCAGGCAATCAATACAAAACTTGAAAAAAGTGAATGGCTACATGAAGAAACGCACTTACTCCACCTCCTTCTTCATCAGCTTTTCATCTTCGGCATCAACTCGGACAACATCATAAAGATGGCACAACTGCCTCAAGGAATCAATATCACCCCTTCTGCTTTTCCAAATTTGCTCAAAACGGGCATTCCTTACAAGTTCCTAAAGCATTAAGATAAGAAACCATAAACATCCAGAAAAAATTTAGAACAACTGCAGGCTTGGATATTTGGTATTCCTAGAAAACAATCATGACATTTTTTTAAATGGACATTAATTAAAAAAATATATTATCTCAATTTTCTGCTTTAGGGATTTAATGGTGAGGTGAATCTGCGGTGAAAAAAGAGAGTGGCTATGAAATGGCAGTAATCAAAGAAAAAAAGTTCTTGAAATTAGAGTGTTGGTGGTTGGGCTGCATGTTATATTGAAAAAAAAACAAATCTAGCGTTGGGATGGTAAGAAGAACAAGAAGAGAACAAAGCTAAATAACAAATCTAGAGTTGAAATAGCTAAAATAAACGTGTCAGTAGAATTAATTTCACATGCAAAGTTTAATAGGTGTGTACGATGAGAATTTTGGTAGAGTTAATGGAAAATACTTGGGAGAACAGTAAAAATTATGATGGCCTGTAGTGGCATCCAATGCATCAAACATCTTCAAACCAGTCTAGTCACCAGCCAAGCCTTCCACACCCACCCTCCTCGTGCTTAAGGTAATGATTTAGAGCAATGCCAACCAATGTTTAAAATAGCATAATTGGGCATTGAAGCATTTTCCATTAGCGAACTTAGGCGTAAGCCTTATAATTTGAAATTTAAGTAGTCAAAATAATTAAATAAAAATAATGTAACAGCATCATAACTTACATTTATATTAACATTCTAGTAGGGTAAAAAGTGAAAAATTACGTTTATATAAAAAAAGAAATTGTTTGGGCTTGAAAATATTATATAACAACTTGCACAAAATAAAAACATAATATAAAACCTGATCAAATCATCAAACAAACATAAAATATAAAATATCGAAAACAAGAAAATCATAACATAGTAGACTTCTCTCACTCTTATTATCCAAAATAATAACATCCATAAATCTAAATATGATAAAAAAATCAGAAGTCAGAGCAACAAGCAACAGTGGCGACAACAATAGTCAACGGCTGCACCAACTACAACAGAAATAGCCGGTAACAACAATAGCAGCAACAACTGGTAGCGGCAAAGGAAGTAGAAGCAACAAATGACTATAAGGCAGCAAGCAGCAGGCAGCGACGTGGGAAGCTTGACTAGGGGGAGCTCTTACGTGTGGGAGTGGCTTACGTAGTCAAAATAATTAAATAAAAATAATACATCAGCATCATAACTTGTATTTATATTAACATTCTAGCATGATAAAAAGCGATCAATTGTGTTTATGTAAAAAAAGAAATTGTTTGGGCTGTAAAATATTATATAATAACTTACACAAACTAAAAATATAATATAAACATTAACTGATCAAGTCATCAAACTAACATAAAATATGAAATGAAAGTAACATAAAATATTAAAGACAAGAAAAAATTTAATACAATAGACTTCTCTCACTCTTATTATCCAACATAATAACATCCATAAATCTAAATAAAATAAATAATCAAAAGTTAGAGCAACAAGCAACAGTGGTGACAAGAGTAGTCGACGGGTACGTCAACTATAACAAAAGCAGCTGGCATCAGCAAAGGCAGCAGCAGCTGGTGGTGGCAAAGGCAGCAGAAGCAACAAATGACTATAACAGAAGTAGGCAGCGGCAGCAGCAAACAATGCTAGGAAGCTTGACTAAGGGGAGCTCTTACGCGTGAGAGTGTGGCTTTGGTTCATTTTCAAGCCGTCTAATACATAGGGGGAAAAACTTAATCATGAGAAGCGGACACCATAGCGAAATTAAGACTATACACACCTTGAGGTGTGCCTCAACTAACGTGTGGCGCACATCTTGCCCAAGTTGCTCGAGGCATCGTCTCAAAGTATTTTTCTTTGGAATTGCACTGAGGTGGGCCTCAAGATGTGCGTCATATTGCAAAATTTTAAGCAGTGTTGCCAACTATCATAAAATAAACAAGATCTAACAATAAATTCATTATCATATAGTTGTCCAACGACTAATAGCAAGTCAAAATCTATGCAGAGGAGTTGTAGCCTACAATCTTACTTGATGTTTTCCAATTTAGAGCAAGTTCTTATGAATTTGACTATTTATTTTGAGCAGCTCCAGCACTAAATATAATCACAATTCTCTCTCTTCACTAAATTATCAAGTCACCCATAAGATACATTGAAATGAAGTTGCTAAGTCATCACTACAATCAGGGAAGGATGGGTAGGAATTACACAAAAAAAAGGATACAAAAGAAAACAAAATCAAACTGAACTTTCATAAGATATTTTGTTTGTCCACAAACTTGCATCAGTTATGATAAAAACAAAGCAATCATTCTTTAAACAATGACGCAATAGATCATGTTTACTCTTACCAAAATCATATATGATGTTAAGAATATCTTATGAGTTGGGAAATAATGATTCTATAAGTCCAACAATTATTACGGAAGGAAGATATTTTTTTAAGAAGGTCAGCTCCGAAGCGCAAGAAAGAATCAACAATGATAATTTGAGTGTGCAGAAAGAATCATTTATATTTCACAGTTTGTCTAGGACTTTCCCGAGTCAACATAACATTGAGAAAACAATAAGACAAATAAGTCTCTTATATAGAAGATTTCAATACGCTAATCATTCCTACAATAATTTCTAGCTTTAAACCAAAATTTTTTTAAATTTAACTTTCAAACTACCACCAAAAATTCAATCTGATACCTGTAATCAAAATCCTGAGCATTCGGCCAATCTTGAACCGCAAAATTTTTTTTCCTATGTCACCCACTTAGCCATAGCCCTAGCCCTAGCCCTAACACTAGCCTAAACCACATTTTCCTTCTTTGTCAAAACTTTTATTGGAAAAATGATATGACAAGACTCTAAGGAGAAAACCTCAACGAGTAGTTCCTAAGATCACCATGGAGAATATGTAGTGAGAAATCTTACACTACAACAAAGGCTTAGCGCCTTTGAGAGAAAACAACCTTGCGAGATCACTCATAGGCACAACAGTGATTCATTAGATCGAGAGGAGGAAGTAAATCTCTTCCACCATCCAATTTCCAGTGAGTTTTAGTCCGAGATAACCTTAAAAATAGCTCTAATACCAAAATTTGGTTGTGGCGAATGAAGAAAAACACATATTTTGAAATGATTTATATACATAAGATTTTTTAAATACTTAATTGGTCGCAAATAATTTTATTCATTTAATTAATAATAATTCGAGCCTCAAAGACCCACGAGCCTTCCTAACACAAACTTATTATGCCTGTGCACCAAATATAAGTACTCAAGTTAAATGTCTTGATGATAATAAAAAATAGTTGCAATATGCTTCTATAGTAATTATTATTGTGTATTAGTAATTAAAAATAATATTTATAAATGTTCTTTAAGAAAAAAAGTTCATTTATATAAATACTTTGGAATTGTATGGCTGGAGTAACAACGCATATTTTTCTTTAATTTAGAGTAAAAAAGAAATATAGACGACAACAATAATAACCAGCTTTTATCCCACTAAGTGGGGTCCGCCACATGAATCATTTTTCTGCATTGCGTCCTATTGAATGTCATATTTTCATTTAATTAGAATAGGTTAAAATCATTTTTATACAATATGTCTAAGTCCTTTTAGGTCTACCTCTGCCTTTCTTAACATAAGTCGAACCTAAAATATCTACTCTCCTAACATAATCACAAATGTCCGACGTTTAATATGACCAAAACATCTAAGATAAAACTCTCTAATTTTGTCCGCCACTGGAGCTACACCGACACTATCACGGATATATTCATTTCGCATTTTGTCTCTAAGGATCAGTTTGGAAGAGTTTTTTGTCTATTTTGTTTTTCAGACCGCCTCCACAGTTCCGTTTGAGGAATTGCTTTCGTGTTGTTTTTTAAAAATTTCTGTGGTAGAAAACTGTTTTTTCAACCTAAGCTATTAAAGTGTGGTGGTTGTCAAAAAAACTACGGTACGACTTTTTGAAAAAAAAAATTATAATAGCCACCGTAGCTTTTTGAAAATTTGTTTCTTCTAAAGAAGTTTCACAACTGTTCTTCAAACAACTGCAGCTTTCCCAAACAGACCCTAAGTGTCAAACTACTCATCCACCTAAGCATTCTCATATCCGCAACACTTAACTTTATTTTATGCTTTTCTTTTAAAGGTCAGCACTCTGCGCCAAGGAGCATTACAGGCCTTACCACCATTTTATAAAATTTTCCTTTAAGTCTGAGCAGCATTTTTTCTATCACACAATATAAATAAAGTAAAAAAGAAATATGAAGTCAAAAAAATAATATAGTTATTAAAAGATATACTACGTAATATAATAATAAAACTAATGTATATAATTTTGCTAAATGGGTTTTATCATTTAAAGTTGAAAATATGGTTACAATTACTTGTTGGCCTGAATTTTAATTGGGTGGAAAAAAGATTTGCTCTTTCAATTAAATTTGAGATTATGGTTGCCACTAATTAATAGCATGGATTTAAATTGAATGTTTTTTTAGGTTTTAATTAAAAATTTCTATTAAGATCTTTTCAAATGAACGGTGATAGATCAGATACTTTTAATCCCCCAGAAGAAAGAATTAGGCCGTAGACACCGAAAGTAAAGAGCTTGAATTACTAATTTAGATACTCTCCAATTACCATGACCTCAACAATTGCCATGTGGCGGCATCTCATGCCCAATATCTAATAAAGGAATTGTCCTTCACTTTTTGAATATTAGAAAATGCAAATAATTAAAAGCAGCCATTACAACTGATGATAGGAAAGTTCCAAGGAAAAGCACAACCAGTTCAATGCACATTTAATTTTATTTTGTTTTTCCAATAACGCTGAAAAACATGGGCTTGTTTTGTGCAATTATTTTTCTACAAAATAATTACATTTAACTCCAACCAAAATAATTCAGAAAGTATGCAATGAAATTAAAAATACTAGCAATATTCCTCACGGCGAGATTATAATTAACTAAAGATAATTTAAGAAAATTTAACTCGCTAAAAACATAACTTAAATGTCTCCTATATATAAAGACGCTGTCAAACATTTTACAAGTAATTTACCATTCATAATTAGTAAAATGACATGTAAGGACAAAAAAACATTACATAACTAACTAAATATGATTAAATGATCCAAATAAGACATGATACATGACAACAAGAAGAATCTCGAGCTGCATTACTAAATTTATTGTTGTTGTTGTTGTTTTTATTGTTGTTGTTATTATTATTATGGTAAACAAATTCAATTATTTAAAAAAAATGTAACAAGTTCAGCCAAACATATTTTCTCTATTTATACCACTATATTTCAAAATATATTATAGAAACTAGAATAATTCCAGGCACATACTTATTCAAAGATGAATGGTATTTGAGAAATGTATCAAAATAGGTTTATAAATCACATATTCACACTAGGTAATAAGAGACTTAAAATCTAATTGTAAATTTTAAATTATATTCGATTTCTATCCTCCCATTATCCTAGTATGTTAGAGGTTATTTATTTTGTTGAAAAACAAATGGAGTGTAAAAGGAATTTAGTGTAATTAAAAAGTACTATACTAGGAAAGCTTTAGAGCTGTTTGGTTCGATGTAAAACAAATTTATGCATTTATATTTTTTTATTTAGTTTAAGGAAAAATAATTTTTTTGTAAAACATAGAGACCGATGGCGGCAGTAATTGGTGAGTGATGGTGGCAGCAGTATCTATGGCGACGGCGACGATAGCAGGCTGGCAAGGGTGGCAGGCGGCTAACAAAGATTCAGCCTTGCGGTGCAATTAAAATTCATTCAAAATTGAGTGAGTTTCAAATTCATTCACAATAAACTAATTAGTGAATTCCAAACACTTCAAATTTTATTCTGCATTCCGTTTTCTCAAATCAAATATCCAACTTTTAAAACGCATGCATTCCTTTTACTTTACACCCCTTTTCCGACAAATAAAACAGCCCCATAATAATTTTATATTCCTACTTCCTAGTTAATCTGAAGTTCAAAGGTGTGCATAGGCTCCAATCATGATATCTCAAAAGACTTTTAAAAGCTCAGAGGAAGAAAAAAAAAATGTATAAACCACAAAGATAGCTATGGAAAAAGAGATAATATGCAAGTATATTATTAATAAATAAATGACGGGATACCTCCCGTTCTTGTCTAGCTGCAGAGCGCAGTTGATCATGTTTCTGTATGCAACATACAAATTTGGTTAAGGTCAGTTCAGAATGTAAAAACTTACATAAAATCAAAACAAAGTAAAGCAGTACATGATTCTATGGCATGTTGACTGAATCTCGTCACTAAACAAGCAGCAAGCATATTTGAAAATTCAATTTAAAATACAGTCCCTGCTGACAAAACATAATGTGGCAATGCTGAATTTGATTAGGACATTAACGAGACAGAGAAGAGTGCAGGCATACACACAGACACACACAGAGATGCAAGATAGATGTCATCTTTTTAGATCCCCACATGTTTAAGCTTTTGTCTAAGGGAAAGCTTAGTGATAATATCTAACGTACATCCAGTCATTTATACAGCAATACTAAAATTTGAAAAAATAATAACAAATGACATCCATGCCAAAAACAAAAGATTCAGATACCATTCTTAGAAATGATCAAGTACTGTTTTGCTAGATTGACAAAAAAACATCCAAACTAATAGGTATTGGGTATTATACATGAATAACCCTCCAACTATACGGTATTTTTGAAATTTGTTGATATGTCGACTTTATGTAAAAATGTACAATTGTTATTTAAAATGTTTGATAAGGTTGTTTAAGAAGTTGGGGAGAGCTTAATAGTTCAGGTTATTATAGACAATGCAGGTGTCTATAAAGCTACAGGGACCGTCTTAATGGAGAAAAGGAAGCATATCTATTGAACTTCATGATGCTCATTATCTTGATTTAATGTTCAAGAAGTTGAGACAATTACCACAACATTAATCTGCTTTGCTGAAAGCAAAAATAATAAGTAAATTTATTTACAATATTTTCTGAATATTAAATTCGATGAGTAAACTTGGCCAACAGTTACAAGATTTGGCATGGCAAATCTGAGCTTGCAAAGATTTAAAAAGCTACAACAACCTTTGAAATTTATATTTGCTTTTGAAAAATGAGATAAAAATTCTTAGGTGTCAATTATGAAAAATTATTCTTTTTGGCGTAACACTGATTAAGCTCTGAATATTACAGGGCCCTAAGCGAAGATATTTCAAATGGTTTATGATGAGAGTGCTTCAGCTATTGGATTTATTTATGAAGCTATGAACAGAGCAAAGGAGGAAATAACAAGAGATTTAAGAAGACAAAGAAGTAGCATATAAAAAAAATACAAGAAATCTTTGATAAAAAATGGGATCATCAGCTACATCAACATTTGCATATTTTTGCATATTATTTGAATCATTAATTTCATTATGATAAGGACTTCCATGTGGATAAAGGGGTTTAAATTAATTTATATGTATGCATGGATTGATTTATCCCTGAGGTTGACTATCTTAAACAAATGATTAACTTGAAGATTTTCATCTGAAAAATAAAATGTTTCAATTTAGAGCAGCTCAAGCATGCTACAGGAAATATTATCCCAATAAATTTTGATTTACCTATAAATTTTAACCTATAGCATTATAATTTATATCTACACTACCTATCTTAATATGCATTACTATTTTTTATTTCATCTTATTCTAGAATGTTGGTAGACACAATTTGGAGATGAAGTGCCAGAACTCGAAGCATTTGTTATGAAAGTTCTCAACCTTAGTTGTTTTGCTTATGCATATAAGAGTATTATAGAGCATATTTAACCAATTGCATGCAAAAAAAAAAAAAAAAAAAAAAAAATGAAATTGATTGGCTGCAGATTGAATAAACTACTTAGTTTATATTATGTTCAATAAAAATTTGAAAAATAGACACTTAAAGTTATAAAAATAAGGAAAATGTGGTGATGGAAAAGATCATTTGGTTGTTGATGATACATTATTTGATGATGACTGCATGAAATAAAAAATAAGGAATAATTTGAGTTTGAAGGAGAAGTAATGACATTTAATGATGATGATAATGAAGATTTTAATGTTAACATTGAAATGGGTCAAATGACTATTGAACTTGGAGTAATTTCTATTTCACGATCATTTAAATAAAGAAGCCTTGAGGTTTGAACTTCAATAAAATCAAGAGATAATTTTAGTATCATGGATTTCCCAGTTGTCCTTAATAATAATAATAATAATAATAATAAATATAAATATAAATATATAGATTTTGAATCCGAGAATAATAGAGTTATTACATATGATGTTTATTCTGAGTATGATAAACATAATAATGAGGCCACTATGAATCCTGGTCCTTGTGGCATATTTAAGTTCAAAGTGAGTACTTTAAAGTTTAAATCTTATTTCAAACTTTTGTTTTATAATATTCAAGACTAAGATTTGTGATTGGATATATTTATGAAATACATTTAATTTTATGATTTTTTAATTCTGCTATTTCGAGGCTTACACGTTGCCTCGCTAAGAAAAATACATCAATTCTCAATTCTGCCTTTTTAAACATTCCGATGAATATTTGAAGTACTTAATCTATTACAAAGCTGTGAACATATTTGAATGCACATTTTATCAAATAATATAATATTTCGATTTTATAAAAAATAAAAAATTCAAGGATTGTCAGAATGTGAGAAATACTTTAATTACATTCTTTTTTTAACATGTTACACTGTAAAAATTTTATATAATGGTCCGCTGTTTACCTTGTTCAGAGATTTGATTTTATATTTGGGCACTTTGGTCTTGCTTTGTTTTGCAGCACAAATAAATCTACTTCAACCAAAAGAGTAAAGAAATAAATCAAAAAGCCTTTTAATCTATGAGCAACAGCTCAATCACAAATTTTTCACACAAAAAACAACAGCATCTCAATAGCAGCTGTTCACCAACGTTTTTCCTATAGCAATTATTCACCTGGCTTTTCAAACTGCAGCAATCTTACCAAACGAAGCCTAAAATTTCAACAGGATGGTTCTAACTCCTAAATAGAGAAACCCAATCTTGTTGCTAATAGTAAGAGAAGTGGGTTAGCAGTACAATTTCTCAGCACATGCAGACCGCGTTGCCATTTTATATATGCTTATATTGCTTAATTTTCTTTCATATAGTAATATGATATGACAATGGTACGAATTAAATAAATCTTACAAAAAATGTTGAACCATATCAAAGCAACAATCTTGTATCATGATGTTCTCACCTTGTCTTGTTTGAAATAACCTTTGCGCACCTCCATCTTCCTCGTGAAGTCCTTTGAGCCACAAGAATTAGGCTGATAAAAAAATATATCAAAAAGCAGTATATGTGGTATGTTTTTGCAAAGTACATCAATTAACTATATAATTGAAATTCTTAATTATTATCAACATCATTAACCTCAGCCAAACTACTTGGGTCAGCAAAATCTTAATTGTTGGACAGTTAAAAAATTTACATGGTGCTCCTAGTAGAATATCACAAGCACTTTTGGGTCAAACAATTTCAAACCCAACAAATTTTTAGCAGACGAGCAATTATAACCACCAAATGAGTGAAAATCTCGAAATGCAGAATCAAAATAAGCATAAGCAACATTTTCAAAATAGGTTATCAACCATAAACTGTTAATTTGTAAAATAAACAGAACCGCTAATGATAATGATTTTTAGCTATTTAAGAAAGCTAAAAATAATTCCTTCCTGCGATCATATTCTTGACTATATTCATACATTCAACAGACCTAAAACTATGCTAAGGTGGCTGATCGACATTCTAATTTTAAACGTTAAACTTGAGCACATTGCATCAGAGCTAAATCATTCAAAACTAAAACTGAAGTCATTCATTGGATGCAAAAGAAAAATGATGCTCTAGCTAAGGAAACTAAAGTTCTGTAAGTAGAGAAAAAGTGTAGAATCAAAAAAATTAATTTACTTCATACAATAAAGCCAAAAATAGAAGAAAGAAAAAAACACTTACCAGAAGGGACTGCAAAACATCTTCAATTGCCTCGGAAGGGCTCACAGTTTCCACATGCTGTACTAATAACCGTTTTCTCATCAATGCCTCTGAAACTGCAGACAGGTCATAATCAATATGCAAATTCAGAAATATGAAAAGTTAACAATGACAACAATAACATAAGCAGCCTGATATTGCAATTTTTTACTCCATATTAGTTAAAACTTGCTTTCTCTGTCCCCCTTAATCCCTTATATTCAATTCAATCTGGCATTTATCATTTCCGACATCTGATTAGTGGAACTCTTCATGTTCCTGGAGTAGTTACAAAAAACCCACTTAAAGCGCAAATCAAGTTGATGTTGTTTTACAACCCCTTCAGCCTTTTTATCACAAGTTTGAAATGATTTCCAAAGACTTGATGGATGGAAATAGCATCTGCCAAATGAATCAATGAAAGTAATAAATAACAAAAAATAGATGAAAGCATTCCCTTTAACTCAACCTTCCTTCCACCCACCTTGCTCTTCCTGCTGCCTGTTGGAGTGCATAATTAAGAGAGCAAAGCGGGCTAACGAATCAACTAAAACAGCATAAAAAGATAACATCTGTTTTGCTTTTCACAATTTCTTTTTTTTTTCATTCCTTTGTCTTATAAGATCAAACATATTTCTTTTCACAATTTCTTTTTTTTTTTCATTCCTTTGTCTTATAAGATCAAACGTATGATCGAGATCAGCTAGGCAAAACTCATCATAAATGCAAATTATATGTGCTATAAAGAGCAAATTTGTCAGTTGGTCGCCATTTATAGTTATTTTATGTTTTTTTTTAGTTTTGATCTATTAGAAGGATTATCTACTTGAAAATGTCTGAAGATGATATGGCATATGGGAATAGAATGTGTTATCAGTTATTGCAATTATTTTCATTGGATTATTTCACCTCTTGTTTAGATTGGTTCAAGTCTAGGATCATGTGAGTTGATGATTCTACTGTTGGAGTTTTCATTGCTTCATATTGACTGCAAAATTGGATTTTTATGAGTTGGTTATCTAAACTATCATTACATGTTTTGTCAAGATACATGTAGCTCTTTCTTGAGTTATTGTTTCCTTAGCGAGTTCCGTCTCTAGAGAGTCTTATGTGATTATTGTAGAATTCAAAATGTAAATGAATTCTTCCTTGAGTGATTCAAGTAAGAGTCATATTGTTTAATCTGCAACTCTTATCCGACAATTTCAGGAGGAGAATGTAATGATTGTAAATTTGATAACTTGATGAATGAAACGTGACTTTTGCTTAATAAAATTTAAAATTCTCCTTCAATTTTGTGCATGTACATGGTTGATGTTGATGTTGAGTATACACATTGTGTATCTCACTATTTGATTAGATGATAATAAAACAGTGTGATGTAGACTAATGATTTATCAAGTGTTCTTTAAAGGATTATTTATCCATAACAATTAACATGATGATCATGAGAAAAAAATGCAATAAATGGGTATTTTTTGTAGAAAAATACCCATAGGTTATTTGTCTTGATGTTCTTACGTTGTGTGTTAGATTGAATGTATAGATTGAGGATGATCATCGTCAAAGCCTCAAAGTAATGCACACTTATGTATGAAGCATATTAAATCATTACATGCATCAAAACCTTCTGAATCAAGTCCTGACTTATATTTTAAGTATTGTTGGTTAATTTTTTTTCTTGGTATTAAATCCCTCAAATCATGCTAAAATCCTCTCCTAAGTTGTGATCGAATTTAAATCTATTTTAAATTTAAAAATTCCCACTAATTATTAATTAATTTCCAAAATTTCTAAAAAAATAAAGAAAAACATTAAATCAAGTTTAAATCCTTCCTTTGTCAAAGTTCTAATAGTTAATTGTTGCGCTTTTCCCCTCTTAATCAACTCCTTAGGACCGGCCACATAATTGCAAAACATTTTGGAAAAAAACATCTCTTGATACGTCATTGTTCTTCAAAGACAAAAAAAAATAACTCTAGAAACCCTCTTCACTGTATAAAAAATCTCCCGCATATGTTCATAGAAGCCCTCTTGCAAAACCACAAAGTATTTGGCAGGGAGTATGTCCTTGGTGTGGAGTAACTTTCAAAAGTTTGTAAGCAAATTCATTTTATTTTGATTCATATTTTAATATTTGCTTCGAAATCTAGTTTGATTTAATTTTATATGTTGACTTAGATTCAAATTTAAGAAAAACATATTGTGTTGATTAGAAACTTCACCCCATTTTGATAAAATTTTTCATGATGATTTAAATCAAAAAATTTTATTGTGCTGATTAAAATTTTTATTCTATTTTGATTTAATTCTTCGTATTAATTTGAATCAAAATTTTTTTTGGAAGCTTTAGATGCATATCACACAATTTTTATATATTTACATATCTAACACTTCATATTTACATTTGGTAACACTTTGGTGTCATAAATCTATGCACAAAAAAGTGCATTTCACTTTAAAAAATAAACAGTAGTAATAAGTTTGACATGATATTATAGATTTCAGTGCTATGTAAATAAATATGAATGGTTGGGTATTATATATGCAAATACATAACAATTGTGTGATAAGTATGTAAATGTCTAACTTTTTATTCTGTTCATTAGAAACTTCATTTTAATTTCATTTAATTTTTCATGTTGATTTAAATCAAAATAGTCTATCATGACGATTAGAAACTTAAGGTTATTTTAATTTAATTTTTCATGTTATTTTGAATCAAAAAATTTTATTGTGTTAATTAGAAACAACATTTCATTTTAATTTAAGTATTTATATCATTTTGAATAAAAAATATATGCTTGTTAATTAGAAACTTATTTCATTTTGATTTAATTTTTATTTTACTTTAAATCAAAACTACTATTCTGATGATTCAAATTTGCAACTTATTATTATTATTGTGACTTGAATTTTCTGAATTATTATGATTTAAAATCTAAAACTATTAGTGGATTTATAATCTAAAAATAGATTTCTAGTTTGATTAAATATGTAATTAAATTTATGGATAGATTAAATCTGAAAATATATTTTAATTTGCTTAAATTTGTAATTAAATATTTAGATTGATTGAATCTAAAAAACTAATTTCTAAGGATGTTTATATTTAAAAACTAACTTTTAGATTGTTGGACTTAGGAATTTAAATTTCTAGACTTTCATTTTCAAAATTTTATATTTAGAGTTGCTAAAGATAAAACAAAATTTTCAAAATTCTAAAATTAATTTTTCAAAATAAAAAATTACATTTATTGGACTTACCATTGTTAAATTGAATCACATATATCAACTTGGTTGGCACATTCATTATTAAATATCAAATTATGTTGATTAGAATCATATTTTTTTTCATTTGAAAAAAGAGGAATTTAAATACATAACACCCAATTATTATGTTTTTACATATCTAAAGCCTAAAATTTATTTTTATACATTTAAACCAAACAAATCTTTTATATTACATAAAAAATATCACTATTTTAAATTTTGAAAAATTAAACACAACTTTTTCATGCATAGTTAAGGGGGCATATATGTAAAAATTTAAGTTTAGATGTTAGATATGTAAATGCATAGACATTGTGTGGTATGTATGTAAATCTCCCTTGAAAAATTTAATATGCTAAATTATTTCTCCAAAATCAGAAATTATATTTTATGAAATTCACTTTGCTAAAAATATTTTATCAAAATTATCATTTTGTAATTTTTATTGCAATATACCTAAATATTTTTTTTTATTGATAAAATCAAATTTACACAATTTTCATTGAGGGTTAAATCACATTAAAAATCACAATCAATAAAATAATTTGCAAGGTGTGATTGTCCATTTCTAGTTTTAGTAAGTTTTCATTGCATGCATCAATTTATAGAGAGATTGTGAGTTTAGAAAAAGGAACTTTGATCATAAAAAAAATTTGTTGATTGGAGAAATTGAGGTTGCACTCACCTCGTATAGGAGAGTATAGCAGGTTTGTACACTCAATGTAAGAGAATAAATTAGGATGCGCTCAATTTGAAGAAGGGTGGGCAGGAATAGCGCTTCTCCACCCCGTTGAATCAGATTTTTACATTCAGTATTGGTCTTCTAGTCTGATATTGACTAAAAATTAACATATGCTTTAAGACTTCTGGCCAAACTATGTAAATTTTTTTTTTGTTCGCTATCCTACTTTACATTTTCAGCACTTATTTTCTTACTTATCTATTGTTACTTTTATGCTCTATTCCTTAATATATATAAACTCTTTTTGCTAGCATAATCATAGAATTATGAATCTCATATGGTGTGTCGCTTCCACAAATTAATTCTTACTATTAATTTTAATTATCATTCATTTGTAATATCTTTTTGCTTTGGTTATGGATTTTCTTACTGGACATTTACAGAACGATGTATCTTAGTATATGTTTTTCGTTGGTGATATCCTCTTGAGCATAAGACTGGAGAGAGTTCAGGAAAGGCTTGAATTATGGATGTCAACTTTAGAATCTAAAGGCTTTTGTTTGAGTATATCTAAAACTAAATACAAGAAATGTAATTTAATAAAAGTAGATCTAGTGGGTGTTGGTAAAAATGAGTGATCATGTCATTAAAGGGAGTGAACATCTTAGATATCTCAAGTCTATAGTTCAAAGTGGTGGAAGTAAAAATGGGGATGTTATTAATAAAATTCAAGTTGGATGGTTGAAGTGGAGGAATGCATGAGGCCTTTTGTGTGATAGAATAGTATCGCTTAGACATAAAGGTAAATTTTATAAGATGGTGGTGAGATCTGCAATGTTTTATGGTGCATGATGTTGGTCTGTAAAGAGAAGCACAAAATTAAGTTAAGTGTCGTTGAGATAATAATGCTCAAGTGGATGAGTGGTTTTACAATAAGAGACCAAATGCGAAACGAATATATCCGTGAAAGGGTTGGAGTAGCTCCAATGGTAGAAAAAATTAGAGAAAGTCGCCTTAAATGGTTTGGTCACATTAAAGGTCAGCCATCTATGAACCTGTTAGGAGACTTGATGTTTTGGATTTGACTTGCTCTAAGAAAGGTAGAGGTAGAGCTAAAAAGACTTGGAACATGTTGTATAAAAAGTGATCATAATTTATTAAAATTAAATTAAAATTGGACACTTAATAGGACACAATGGAGAAAAAGAATTCATGTAGTCAACCCAACTTAGGGGGATAAAGTCTTATTGTTGTTGTTTTTGTTGTTGTTGTTGTTGTTTGTAATATCTCAAAAAAATTTAATTGGCAAACAAATCTAATAAAGTATGCAAGGGTCGCTACACCGACGCCCGGGTGTAGTGTCAAATAAGCAAGGGTTCACACATTACGGACGAATGCGGGTAAATAAGTTAGTCCATGAAACTAATATTTGAATAAGATCTTGGAATATAAGTACTCTCAATTGTAAATTAATGGAATTAATTGATATTATGATTCATAGAAATATTAATATCTTGTGTATTCAAAAAATTAAATGGGTTGGAGAAAAGGCTAAGGAGATTGATAATTTAGGTTTTAAACTTTGGTATTCTGGTAAGAGTCGCACTAGAAATGGTGTAAATGTAATTATAGATAAGAGTTAGAGTTTGAAAGATAATGTTTGAAAGATAATGTTGTAAAAATTAATAGAGTTGGAGATAGAATTATAGTCCTTAAGATTGTCATTGTACTAAGATTTTTAATATTATAATTGTTTATGCTCCTCAAATAGGTTTAGATACAGAGTATAAAGGTAAATTTTGGAATAACTTAGAAGACTTAATACAAACGATATCTCTTGAAGAATGAATTTTTATTGGAGGAGACTTAAATAGACATGTCGATAGAGTGGTAGAAGACTTCAGAAATACTCTTGGTGACTACGGTTTTAGAGTAACTAATAAAGAAGTTAGAGATATTTTAGATTTTGTTTTAACGTGTGATTTTGTTATTACTAATACTTTATTCAAGAAAAGAGATGAGCATCTTATTACTTATAAGAGGAGATCTAATAAAACACAAATTGATTATTTTCTTATAATAAGAAGAGATCGTCGAGATTGTAAAGATTGTAAGGTCATTCCAAATGAGAATTTAAGTACCCAACATCGTTTATTAGTTCTAGATTTTAAGATGAAGGTAGTAAAATAAAAAATATTAAGACTCATCATCATAGAATTAGATGGGAGAACCTAAAAGACAAATAAAATTATTTTATGAGTAAAATTCAAGATTTCAAATTTTGGGATGTTCATGATGAAGCAAATGTTATGTGGAAAAAAGTATGTGCTTGGAGAATCTAAAGAAAAAAAAATTTATTAATAAAAATAGTTGGTGGTGGAATAATAATGTGCAAGAAAATATAAAATATAAGAAGTTATGTTATAAAAATTGGTTTAAATGTAAAAGCTTAGTGAAATGGGAAAAATATCAAACGGCCCGTAGGGAGTCTAAAGAATAATCTGTGACGCCAAAAATTATGTTTTTAATGATCTTTATAATATATTAGATACTAAGGAGGATGAAAAATATATGTATAAACTAGCCAAACAAAGAGAAAAAAAGTGAATATCTAACTCAAGTAAAGAGTATTAAAGATGAAAATCAAAAAATATTTTTCTTAGAATACGATCGACCTTTATATTCTTAATATCATGAATAAAAATAAAATGTTTCATTTTACCGCCGCATTAGTAAAAAAGAAGTTGATGAGGCTTTAAAGAAAACCAATGGTGGAAAGTCTGCAAGATCTGATGATATCCCACTTGAAGTGTGGAAATGTTTAGGAGATTTGGGAGTTTCTTGGCTTACTAAACTCTTTAATATTATTTTAAAAACTAAAAAGATGTCTGAGGAGTGGAGGAAGAGTATTTTGATCCTCATTTTTAAGAATAAAGAAGATGCACGAGAGTGTGCAAATTATAGAGGAATTAATTTGATGTGTCATACTTTAAAGTTATGGGAGAGGGTAATTGAACATAAGGTTAAGACGTATGACAAAGATTTTTCATAATCAATTTGGATTTATGTCAGGCAGGTCTACTATGGAAGGTATGCATTTATAGAGAGGTTTGTTGGAGAAGTTCAGAGATAATAAGGAGAATCTACATTTGATTTTTATTGATTTAGAAAAAGCTTAGGATAAGGTTCCAAGAGATATCCTTTGGAGAGTTCTTGAGAATAAAGGTGTTGATATGACTTATATTCAAGTCATTATATACTAGAGCTGCTACTTGTGTTCAAACTGAAGGAGGATTGACCAAATATTTTCCTATTTCTGTTGGATTACATCAGGGATCGGCTTTAAGCCCATATCTTTTTGCTTTAGTTATGGATGGTCTTATTGGACATCTACAGGACGATGTACATTGGTGTATGCTTTTTGTTGATGAGATCCTTCTCGTGGATAAAACGAGCGAAAAAGCCCAGGAAAAACTTGAATTATGGAGGTCTACGTTGGAGTCTAAAGGCCTTCATTTAAGTAGAACTAAAATTGAATACATGGAATGTAATTTTAGTAGTGGTAGCTCTAGTGACAAAAGTGCGACTTTGGGTAATCAATTATTAAAAGGTGTGAACGATTTAGATACCTTGGTTCGTTGTTCAAAGCGATGGTGATATGGATGGGGATGTTAATAGTAGAATTCAAGTTGGTTGGTTGAAGTGGAGGAATGCTTCGGGTCTTTTGTGTGATAGAAAAGTACCGCTTAAATTAAAAGGAAAATTTTATAAGATTGTGATGAGACCTGCAATGCTCCTATGGCACCGAATGTTGGCCTTTAAAAGAGAAGCATAATAATAAGTTAAGTGTTACGGGGATGAGAATAATTAGGTGGATGAGTGGCTTTACACTTAGAGACAAAATGCGAAATGAATATATCCGTGATAGGGTTGGTGTAGCTCCTGTGACAGACAAATTTAGAGAAAGTCGTCTTAAATGATTTGGTCACATTAAACGTCGACCATTTGATGATCCGATTAGGAGAGTAGATGTTTTAGATTTGACTTGTGTTAAGAAAGGCAGAGGTAGAACTAGGAAGGCTTAGGCTTATTATATAAAAAATTATCTTAATTTACTAGAACTAAAAAAAAAATATGGCACTAAACAGGACGCAATGGAGAAGAAGGATTCATGTAGCCGACCCCACGTAGTGGGATTAAGGCTTTGTTGTTGTTGTGTTGTTGTAAACAAATTTAATAAAAAACATTTAAGGACACATTTCATGCCAAATTCAACACTCCTCCTTTCCCTAGTGCCTTTGCCCTTGGATTGATTCATTCAAGTACCATCTGAGTGGAATTCATTACAGAAGGCGTGTAAGAAAATGCCATCAAACTCACCAAACTATATAATAAGACCAATAGTTTAAAGAACACACCAAATTCTCCTTGAAATCAATACAACATGCAAATTAACATAAAATTAAAATAAACATAATTTTTTAGTACCTTTGCTCTCGTGATCAGATATTGAAAGCTTCTCAAAATCCAATAAAGGCCTTTTAAGCGGCCTTTCATTAATCTCTAACCCTAAAAATGGTAACGAAGAAATAATGTAAGATTTCATTTAATTGAAAAAAAAAAGCATGTCGAAAGAAATACAGGGAAGACTGCTCACAAAATGCATCCAGACTCGCCTGAGAAGCCTTTCTTTTCACTCTGACCACCACCGGCTTCTCCTTTCTCCCCGTAGATGGCGTACCAGAAGATGCCAACTTAACGTCCTCCATGGAGGCAAAGAAGAATGTATTATTTCTCCAGTTAGGGTTCAGAGGCGGGATAGAAGGAAACGGAGTGGCAGTATTTCAGCAGGCCCGTTTCGTCTGCGCCGTCACCATTGGGGCTGTTTGGTAGCCGGTTTTAAGTAGGATTTATGCAGGACTTGAGCTAAATACTGCCAACCGGGAACATAAAGAAACAAAAAAAAAAAAACCCCCTCCGTAAATCCTGAGATTCGTAAATCCCAAAATGACGCAGATTCACGATAATTCCGGGATTTACTAAATCCTGTCAATCGGCGGATTTCGTAAATCCGGGACCAGCCAAGAGGAAGAATGGCGCGAACAGCCTTACGTTCCTCAATGGTTTCTGATAGGAGCGCAGAGAAAGGATGAGAAAGATGGGGGTTTCTGTGGTTTCTGTAAGCCGCGATACCTAATCGCGACTGTATCGCGAAGGTTCGTTCAAGAAGGCGCGAAGGTTCGTTCAAGAAGGCGCGAAGGTTTAGGGGCGGAGATGGGAAGCTTGGGCGATGGGAAAGGATGTCGGAGAGGAAAAGAGAGTTTCGGGACGAGGAATGGGGGGATAGGTTTATGGTTTTAATTTACATTTATTTAACATAATTTTATTATTTCAGTTGATTAATAATTAATAAATAATTTATATATTATCATATTAATCATAATTAGATAAATTTCAATGTAATTATTTAATAGTTAATTTATAAATACAAATATATTTTAAGTTTTAAATTATTTAATAAATTTCTAAATAATTTTTTATTTATATAATTAATGATTAATTAATATTAAATTATTGATTAATAAGTAACCAGTTTTAAAAGATAAATTATTAATTTAAATGCCTTTTCTTATTCATTTTGAGTCTTCGGGCACTCATTTATAATTTTTTCTTTAATATTTAGTTTTCGATGTTCAATAAATCCTACTGAAGAATCTCTTATGATTTATCAAATTTTACTTACTAACATGAGAAATAGTGTTTTAGATTTTAACCACCTCAAGATTTGATAAATTCGGATTTACACGATTTAGTAAAACCTATTTAAATTAAATTTTTCTTGCAACCAACAGCCCTTCAAAGTTGAATCACGTTTCTCTTGCGCTTCACCTTAAATTTGAACTTCAATAAATAGGATCATTCCTGGAATTAAATTCGGCGCTCATGAACTCCGATGAGCCCTATGTCATCGAAAGTTTAAGATGATCTTTCTTCTTTTTCGAAAAGAAGGAGTGCTCAAACCATGAGTTTTGTAAATGATGGGAGTTTTTTCTTAAGAAAAAATACTAACATTAGAAGGGATTTACATGTGCATGATGTGAGCATTTAAATTTGACGCTCAATTTTACAGCTTTATTTTAAATTTCATCAAAAATATTACAAAAATTGATTTAATCTAAGTCCAAAAAAATTAAGATCAAGTCATTAAAACAAAATTAAATGTTTTAGATATTCGATTGAACTGTCAAATAAACTCTAAATTTGACATATTTATAATCAAATCTAGAGTCTAGACAAGTGGAATCAAACTAGCCTAAGTTAGCTTAATTTTCAAATTATTAAGGCCCTCTGTTCATTAGAAAAATTCATATATTATTAAGTTGATCAATACCAGCTATTCAATCAAGTGTTAATGAGAATTATTCACCAAATGACCAAAACATTTTGTTCATAGATGTTATAAATATATCTCCTCTTTTCACTTGAGATAGTGATAAAAGTAGTAGAATTTTTGTATTGTTATGGACTGAAGACCCGACAATAACTGACATTCGTAGCAACATACCACTATTAGACACTTCTCGTTGTCTGCCCCTGCTCATTGTTCTAAGTCAACCCTATTTGTAACCTCATATTTGAAATAACATCATAATTCATAATGTTGTATTGAAGATCCAACAATGTTTTCACTCCATAAATTTTTTGTATGTTGTATATAGACAATTATTGTAGCTGATATAAAATTGCAATCATCTTTTCTTAGTTATGAGGAAAAGATGACTCTTTTTAATTACACACATACAGTGGATTAGTTTAATTGTGCTAGTCTCGCGATTTTTTCTACTTTTTGATTTTTTCACTTAAAAATTTATGGTTTATTCTCTCACTACTCGTCAATTATATGTGCATGTTAGATCATTGTGCAACACTAAGACATTAATTTAACAATTTATCACCTCAAAATTTCCAAAACGCAATAATTATTAATAATAAATTTCTACAAAATAAAATAATTATGTTTATGTTATTGTTTTATTTGAATGATATATATATATATATAAGAAATGGTCAGCGGCTATTATACGAGTCTCCAGCCACCCCTAATGTGTCTAACAATTAAATGTTGAATCCTGATATGAACGCGAGTCACGCCCAAGGAGTAAAGTGTTAAACAGGAGAGAGAGTAAGTGAGAGATAGAGAGGGAAGTGTTAATGAACAGTAATTCTAATGTTGATTAGCTCTTTCTCATGAAATGATCTCTCTATTTGTAAGGGAGTGGTATAATATATGAAGTTACTTGTTTGACCCTCTTTAATTGGGCGTTAAAGGGTATTTTAGATATTTTTACATGTATGAACCTTCATTTCGGTTGTCCTAGGACTTGGTTGGCTATAATCGGTTGGTCCTGGTTCGGAAAGACACATCCATCTAATTGTGCTAAATTAACATTGTCGATCGGCCTCTGATGGTCTTTGAGTCTACGAGACTTGACTCAATCAGTTTGACTTTAACGATCGACTTTGTCAATCTAATTGTAATTTATTCATCCCTATGCGTGGAACTCCTCTTGGCAGAGCAATGCTTAGCGCTCAGATAGAGGGTGAATCACTGTAATTCGATATGTATCTCAAATGCTATTATAAATTATAAGTAGATGTAGAGAATAGAGAAGATGAGTATGAGTTGTATAACTTGGTGAAGCCTCGTGAAACCAGGAGGAGTTGGACCGTGATGAACCACAACTAAACGAATAAAAAAGGTGAATTGAGTGGTGAGCTGCTGCTAAAGAATAAAAAAAGGTGAATTGAAGGCGGGAGATAAGGAAGTCCTGTAAGCAATCCTTAGTCTTAGAACTGGGTTGCATGAGAGCAAAACTTGACTAACCATTTTTCTCCTCTTTCAAGATGTATAATGGTAAGCATCTGCATTAGCCTTTTATTTTATATAATTTTGATGGTATTAGCTTTATATGTTTACCTGGTATATGCACTAGGAATACTTTTCTTATGTTTCGTTTATGTTTAATTATGTTGGTAAAAGCTCTATTTAATATGTTACGCTCTTAAAATAATAATGTTTTTTTTCTGCCAAAATTTAAGAACTAGAAAATTAAAACCCAAATAAATCAAACTTAAAGTCCATAATAAATAAAAGTCATTAAAAGCATCTAGATATGACAAAACATCTACACTTACGTACCTATTTGGGTCGCTCGATCTATCAAACTGAATCATAGTTCCAATGAATCCTTCTAAGTTTAAACAACCATCTTATCTATCTACTAATGCTTGTGATTGTACTTATTTATTGTGTAGTGTATGTAGGTTAGCTAGTTGCCCTCCAGACTTAGATGTTAGTCTAAAAGAGTTAGGATGGATTTTGCTCCTCCGTGGTGGCTTGGATTTGGACTAATGCGACCCAAAAGAAAAAGGGGGAGTCTTAAAGGATTGGATCATACCATTATGAGGGATGAATTTTGCCATAGCAAAGCTTTTATGCTCTAGCATGAGACTCAAAGGAAGGCATACTTGTCACACATACATTTATCATTAAAACATTTCATAAGGATGAGACCATACGACAAAATATAAAACAATGTTCATTATATGAACTTGTAAGATTAAGATATATGTGACTGAAATAAACTATAAATTTCACCTACTTGATAAGTGATATCAAATAGGGTTTATCTTATTATGAATAATCAGTTTTCTCGCTGGTATAAACCACTATGGTTAATTATAACACATTTAAAGGGCCCAAAAATACCCTCGATCAAGGCCGTTTGTTCATTTTTCTTTAGGGTTCGACATGCAATGAGTTTTCAAAGCAAAGATCCTAGTTCTAATGAAACGAAAACTCAAATGGCTACTCAACATGTATGACTCAATGTAACCAAGCATAGCGGGGTCAATATAATCATACAAAGTATGCATAGTAGCTTAAAATATGATTTGACATCATCGAGTGACATAGATATGCAAGCTTTACAACCTCTCAATGAATGAAAGCTCACCAGTGATGAAGACTTAAACATTGTAAGAATAATGTCAATCACGAACCTTTTAAAGAGGACAAAAGCTGTAACAAGGTACTACGCAAGACATGATAATAAGACTTATAACTTATCCCCACTTAGGCCCAAGAATGCTCAAGTGTTCGGCTAAAATTAGCACAAATGATTAAAAAAATATTAAAATTTTATATTTTTTAAAATACAAAATAAAAAAATTATATAAAAATGTTATAATGTTATTCAATATTTAATTATTTAATTAAATCAACCCAAAATAAAGCTTAATATAATCAAATAAAAGTTTTGTTCATGTTTGACTTATTTTTTAATCAAGCTCAAAAAAATTTATTTGTCTGTGGCTTGATTGTTTAACAAATGAATTGAACACAAATTGTTTAATAAGTTGAACAGGAGTTGTTCACGAATAATAAGATATTTGATAATCCTAATTAAGTTTAGGTGTGTTTAGTAATCTTCTTCGTTAGCTAATAATAATGTAGGATTCTTTTCCATTAATGATAACTTTTTGTCTCATACAATCAGGTGATGGATTCATAATCAAAGTGTGGGTTAGGCATGCATATAAGGTGGGAAGGAGGCCAAACCACATGATAAAAATTATGCTTTGACTCATTTATTTTATGTCATTTACTTGCACTTCTAACCATTAATTTACATTGTTCACTTCTTTATTCACTTGTGATAACCACATAGCTTATATATGTGATTAACTATCATTAAAGTGCTTAATTGATTTATCTTACTCCCACATTACTTGAGTCAATTGTATTTATAAAGGCAAGCCTAATAGATTTATTTGTGCATCTTGATGGAATAATTTGATAAACATAGCAGTTACAGCTAAGTGGTTCACACACAGTGTGCTTAATTTTATAACTTAATAAATTGCCTATTATTAAAATTTCACCATAAGATCATCTATATGGAGTTTAGTGTAGGATTCTATTGAGTAGCTAACTATAATATAATTGGATGTTGAAGCTTAAAACTGTTTTGAATGAGCGCACCCGTGAAATTATCATTTTTAGAATAAAAGAGCCACTCATTTTTTACATATTATGAATGAATTATATATAGAGTATTTCATGTCATAACTATAAGCTAGTGTTTTACATATTCAGTTTCAATTAGTGATTTCATATGATATAAGTAAATTATTGAATTTTAAAATAAATAAAAATACTTTTTTGCGCATTAATTCAATCACATATTATTGTATCTCTACTCTACATTAAGCAAGATTGAATTTCAAAGACGAGCAATTATAAAGTTGTAATGACTTCCTTTGACTAGTTATTGAGGCTAGTC